TGACATCATAAATTCTTTTTACTGTTTCTTGGTACTCGATTTTTTTTTTTTTTTTAAATTCTCTGTTTCCTTTGCATGTTTGGGATATCTAATCTTTTTGTGTACTAATTTTTTTCATTGCATGTATTTAGTTTTTTGGATATGTATAAGTTTGACATCCTGCGTACCTGCATAAATAGAGCTATGCACCTCCATAATAAGCAATGTTTCTGTTTTTTTTTTTGGGGAATCTCTGACTAATTTTTTTTTTTTTTTAAATTTCCACCTTATTTTCAGGTGCCCTTCTTACAGCTATGTATTAGGCTAGAGCTTATTCTGCTTTTGTACCGCCATTAATTATTTCCCAAATCTCTTGTTTGGTAGTGAGATCCCCTGATAAATATGCCTTGTTAGCTCATCATTACTGGTTATAGCATGAAAATTTTCATGAAGAGTTAGATTAGACATTCATCGACAGCCTAAATTAAGCATTACAATATCTGTCTATTTGGTGCTATACAACGATGGATTTGCAATATGGGAGGTTTGAACAGATACTTACTCAGTTTCTTCTTAAGAGTATACACATTATATTGGATTCGAGGGTTCCTTCAACCCGACCTTACAGCCGTTGCAGAGAAGTTAAAAAGAGTGACAAATGGTTCAATTTAGCATTAGGGGACCGCCCTTCTGCGTTAGAGAATCTGAATTTTTGGCATAGAAACTTAACGGAGCCGATCATTATTGATATAATTCTTGTTCAAGAACCACCGAACTGTTCATGTGGCTATAGTTTACTACCTACTACTTCGGGATTGGGAACATTTACCGAGACAGTTATAGAGAGATGGGTTGTTCAGTGTGAGTACCTGAGGACAATGACTCCTCAATCTAGTGATGTTTCGTACAAGAAAACATACAAGAAATCAATCATACTTTTACGCTCGCTTTTTTCCATGATGAGGCTTCTTCCAGCTTACAAGGCCTTTCGGAAGCTATCATCAACGAATCAGACATGTGATTTTGATATCAATTACAAGGTCTCCACTTTCAGTGTTCCTTTCTCTAGGACAGAGGAGGAGTTAATGAAGCATTATAGCTTCATTCCAGTTGATGCCCAACAGGGTCGCTTTGCCATATCTGTTACATATCGGGACAATCTATCTCATTTCAACCTAGAGGCTTCTACATCTTTTCCGCCAGAGATCATTACAGACTATGTTGGTAGTCCACTCACTGATCCTCTGAGGACTTTTCCATCTTCTTTGGAGAGACGTTTCCATGCTACGCCATTATTATCAAGAGGGATGCACTCACCTTCTTCGGTGCCCTTTCAGCGTCCACACAGCTGGACAAGTGGTCTCCACAGGGGGGTTTCTTCTCCTCAAAGCCAACCTTTGGCTGGATCTCCAGCTCTATATCGTGCTTCATATGAGGTCTCATCTGTAATTTCTGATACGTATGGCCGTAAGGTACAAGATTGCAAGTCTCCAGCTCACTATGAAGCAGCAAGCTCCAACGACTCCTACCAGCTTTCTCCTCCATTTTCCCCATCTCCTTCCCCATCTCCTCCAGCATATCTTACCAGTGGGAATCCTGTGCAGACTCGGTTGCGATCAGAAAGTGCACCTGTCAGTATTCCACATCCTATTGTTGGCAGGAGTTCACGATACATTTCTCCTAATTCGTCTGATCCAAACAGAAATTCGCTTCCACCTTTATCCCCAAGATTCACAAAGCATGATTCGTCATCTCAGGAGTCCCCCTCTGGAACCAGATCATTGAGGAAATCAGATTCACTCAGATCTGCAGAATCGAGCTGTGGAATGACGTATTTGGGTCAGAAAGTACGTGCGCATTCTAGTCTCACTGATTGATTCACTTATTCTTTACTGTTGTAGCTTGCCAAGGTACCCCCTTGTCTACCGCAAGTTTTCATTTATTATTGTCCTCTAGGTTTCAAGAGATGCCAAAGATGATTCTGGGCGGTTCTCAGGTTTACTTTCCTCCAGTGATTCACCTCGTGTCGGTTTCTCAAGAAGCTCCAGTAGATTATCTTTTCAGGATGACCTGGACGAGTGTGATTTTTCTTGTCCATTTATAGTTGATGACGTCGATACTTCTGAATCCCAGGCCAAGTATTTATCCTCACTTCAGAGCTGTTATCTTTATTTGTATTCTTCTAGCCTTAGCTTGAGCAGGAAACTGAAATTCTCTGTACCCTTTATGTTGCTTGATATTGCTTCTTTTTTGTTTGTTGCAGTTTAGAACTAACTTTTCTGTTTTGAGTCTTGTCACCTGTAAGGAGTAAAAATAGGAGTATAGTGCTATGTGGGTATTAAATGATCAAAATAAGGTGCTTGTTGAGAATATATATTTGGAACTACAATATATGGTGGACTTTTATGTTAATTAAATGCTTAAGGAATGTGTAAAGGCTAATAAGTTAGGTTCTGATGAGGCCAGAAGAAAAAGGCCAAAGAATAGTTAGTTTATGAAATTGAGGTATGAGATTTGAAAGAAAAGGAGAGAGTGAATATAGTAACTAATGTGCCCACAAAATTGATATTGGCTTTCTCTTAGGGCATATGTCCAAAGATGTGTGTAATATAATATTATGCACATATTTATTGGTTCTTATAAGTATAATATAGGAACATTTCAAGTAGCCCACACTGGCCAGAATTTTATATATATCTATGCGAGGGACATATGAAGCAGACTGAACCTAGACTAGATTGTTGTAAAATTTCAAATCAATTTAAAGTACAACTTTTTCACATTTTATTGCATTGGTGTTGTCCATCAGGTGGTTTTGGAACCATTGAGTTGTCACATGGTAATAGGGGAGAAAATACACTTTTTAAGTTCAATATCAACCCAGAATATGCCTAGCCTAATGTCAATCAAATTTCCCTTAATTAAGATTTTACTTTTGTAAGATTTAACGTCAGAAATTAGACTCTGAACTAGAGGGCATTTAGGCTAAATTTTTATTTGGTTTTCTGCTGTATTAGTAGCATACTATTAATGTGGTCGCTATATTTAGCAACTGGACTTGTTAACCGGTAAGGGTAAAAGTTTTAGCTTTTAAAGGGCAACACAACCTTGGTTGATGCATCATTTGCGCTATTTAGCTGTCTGTTTTAACTTTTCATGTTTATTTCTTCCTGCATAACAGGAGAATTTTTTTTTTTTTTTTTTAGTGCGTAGCAGGAGATTTTGTGTTACCTTTAGGCAAATCTGCAGTAGACTGACTTTTTTGGTATTCAGAAATTAGCCAAGCTTTATATGTTTTTGGTTGCTTGCTTCTTTTTTCAGGCGTGTGAAGCTTGGATACGTTTTGGTTGACATGAATAATTTAGACTTGATTTCAGAATGCTTAAGAAATGCAAATATGACATAACCTTGCCCATACATAAGTTTGGTACCTTTTCTCAACCTAACTTTGTGCAGAAAATCTTCAGAATGTACTACGAAATTGAGATATAATCAAAAGTACCGGAATGATTCTTTCCCTGCAATCAATATGGAAGCTTTTCTTTTTTTTTTTTTTTTTTTTTTTGTTGTTGGGAGAGGGGGGGGGGTAAAAAATCGATATGGAAGCTGATTTTGTTAATTGGTTCTTACATCTTCTGCGGATACTTGAATGTGTGTCATATTATTGCATACCATGTCAAATCACATGACATTCTGCCACCGAAGCCAGCAATTCCTTGGCTGTGTTTGAGAAATTCATTGGCTACCTCCCAATGATTGTCTTTTACGTCATTCTTTTCTTTCTCAGTAGTCTGGGCATTCTTTGTGCTCAGTTCTATCTAGGCGTTAACAGCTAAAAGAAAGGATGTTTTAGCTGTGGACCTTTTGATTTTATCTTTTGTGTTATAAGTAAACTCTGGCTATTGCATAACATTTGTTCTCTTCTGGTCTACAGTCAGAATCTTGATTTGAGGAAAGGTTCAGAAGCTTCTTCACAGGCAAATTCATCTGTGAGGAAATCCCAAGATGCTGCTGTTGGTGCCCTAGTTCACATGCTACGGACAGCTCCTCCCTTGCGTCTGGACTGTAGCAGTTATGCTTCTGGTTTTGAGAAATCTGAACTTGAGAGTATTGCGGGTGCTGGTTCTGGATTCGTCCTGCCTCGAAAGACATCAGATGCATTAGAGGAGCTCAAGGCTTACAGTGAAATGAAGGAGTTGCTACTTTGCAAGAGCGGAAGCATTACCAGCAGGGCAGGGAGCAAGGACGAAACATCTTCCAGCTGATTTTGTCACGTAATTGAAGGAAGGTCCCTAAGAAAGATGCTGACTGCCACTAATTCTGCAGTTTAATCTCCACATAGACAAAGTAAAGCTTTGATAGGATGATGATGCCATGGCTGTACACTCCAGGATTTTGATTAGTGGGGAGTGTTGAGTTTTCTGACTGGGGAAATACTTAAAATTATTAATTATGCCGTTGTTTCAACATAGGACATTACAAACGTGTAAATAGGACGAGCAAAATGACCCACAGTTGTTGTAACAAAAAACTGATGAAATTCGGGAAAAAGCATCAAATCATAAACTTTTATACTTTTCGTAAGAAGTTAATATCTGTTTACTTTTCGGAATGCATATTGGGATGAGGTAATTTTTTTCCCCCCTTCAAAAGTAATACCTTTTCTTTTATTTAAGAGAGAATAAAAAACCCTTTTATTTTGTTCGATATGGAAGAACATGAATGTAAATGCTAAGATTGTAAAATCAAAACTTATAATGGGCGCTGGCTGGTCGGATGAAAAGTATTGATCAAAGAGATTCATGCTGTTTTCAAATCAAGAGGGGAGAGGTCCTAATATTTTTTTTAAAAAAACAAATAAAAAGATTAGAGGGAGGTTAGTGTAATTTACCCCCCAAAAAAAAAAAAAAAAAAAAGTAAGTAGGAGTGGTAATTTGGTGTCTGAAAGCCGGAGAATAGGCGTTTAGGTGTAAACTTTTGGTCACTGATCGCAGCGTTTTTACTAGTCAAGTGGTAGTATTAAAATATTAACTGTAACCAAAAGCTTCTGTCTGCGCTTTTGGGCGGTAATGGAGTCGTCCAAAAGAAAAACAAAGGAAGGCAGAAATCGGAGTCAGAAGTAGTGCTGTCCTGTTACTAAATAGGAATAAATAAATAGGTGGGGGGATCGGAAGTTTACGTTAATGTTAGGACCATGGAGTACTACTCTTTTTGCCCAGTGTGTAATTTGCAGGTTCTCTCCAACGAAATCGAGAGGTATGTATATGTATCTCTCTCTCTCTCTCTCCCACCCCCTTACATTCCATTCCATTCCATTCCTTCTCTTCTCTAAGCAGAGCAACCCCATTCCTGCTGTTGCTGCTGTTTTCCATTTTCATGTATTTTGCTGCCCTAGTCGATTTCTCTGCTTTTTTTTTTTTGTTTTTAAATAATAGTAAATATTTGCTATTAACCAATTCTTTGAGCCCAATGATTATGCAGGCATGCAAACGATCACTTCGCTGACCATGAACTCGCCCGGGACTTAGAATTCGCCCAACAAATTCAGCTTGCGCCCCCTACTCCTCTGGTGCCTCCTCTCCCCTCAACTCTCTCTCTCTCTTCTCTCCTTGTAGATGTTATTTTGTCCTGATAGCCTTTTCAAATTTAATTTTCCGATCATCAGCTTTAGACAGTATGCTACTTGCATGTTTACAGTTCTTGATTTTTCATGGCCTGAGCAGAACAACATAATCCAAAATTATTAAATTTTAGTAGCATATTTTTCCCTCTTTTGGTGCTGGGTTTAAGAAATATATCGACTCTCTATATGCTTGTCAAAAATTTTCTAATTGGCCTTTTTCTCTCTTCCCCCGTCGGCTCCCCCCCCACAAAAAAAAAAAAACACACACACACACAAAAGAACCAAAACAAAAAAAACCAAAAAAAACCACTACTTTTTTTTTTTTTGGCTGATGGTTATTGCATTTCAAGAGTCAAAAGTTCTTATTTTAAGCTTTCACATGATTAGGTTGATAGTGCCATGCATTGTCAAAGCAATTTCTCGGATACCCATCAGAGCACTTCCTTGTTGAGGGATGCCGCCGCTGAGACTGATGCTTGTGAAGGGAGTGATGTTGATGGGAAATTCTGCTCTTTGATCAGTTTGCAACTTAAGGAGACCTTCTATCAAGTAGAGGGTGGTTTGATCGCTTTGCTCAGAAATTGTTTGGCATCCGAGTCTCAAGATACAACCAGTATTTTGTCCGGGTATGTTGATCATTTCCAAAGCCGAGAATGGGAAGACATTGGGTGGGGTTGTGGATGGCGTAATATTCAGATGCTTAGCTCGCATTTGATCACACAAAGGCAAGAGGCAAGGGAGGTTTTGTATGGTGGTGCTGGATTTGTGCCTGATATTGCTTCTCTCCAAAGATGGCTTGAAATTGCATGGGAACTTGGATTTGATGCACAAGGTTCAAATGACTTTGATAGGGAGATCTATGGCAAAAGGAATTGGATCGGAACTACTGAGTGCGCTGCACTTTTTCGTTCTTTCGGGCTACGTGCCATGGTAGTGGATTTCTGTAGCAAGGGAACCCCATCTGCATCTTCAACCACTGCATTACACCATGGGAAAATGGCTAGCGAGGAAATTGTTGGCAAGGGGAAGTTGACAAAGGTCTATGGGCCCATGGATAGATATTTGTCTAGACGAGATAATAGCTTTACCCATGAAATTTTCACTATGCCTGAAGACTGTACGCATTCATGTGGCCCTGTTGGGAAGATCAAAGGTCATGGAGTAATCATTGACTGGGTGTGGAATTATTTTTCTGACAACAATTCCACTAAACCTAGCAGTCACCGTGTTGTTCTCAGTGAGAAAGCGTGAGTATTTATCAATCTGTTGCTAAAGTCCATAGCCTATGCCAGACTTGATGTTTGATTTGTATCTATCTAGCATTGCATTGTAATCTGCTGCCAGAATTAAGATGCAGGCCCTTGTACTTCCAACATGATGGTCACTCAAGAACCATCGTGGGGATTCAAGCTAAACGCCAGACTAATGGGAACTATCAATACAATTTACTAATCTTGGACCCTGCTCATGTAAGTTATTGCTTGATTTGCTTGGTAGAATATTTCTTAATTGTTTATGAACTGAATATACCTTTCGATTCTGGTAGTTGAAATCATTCTAGATGAGTCGAAAGAACAGCATTTTACTGTCAGCAAGACAAGCATAATCAGAATACTTGGCACTTCTATTTTTTTTTTTAATTTTTTTCTTCCTCTTTCCCTCCAGAGAACAGAAGCTCTTGCAAAGTCTCTCGAACAAAACTGTGGATGGCAAAAGCTGATAAAGAGAGGTATCCACACACTGAAGAAGCCGCAGTATCAGGTTTTACCTCGTTTCTATCACTCATATATTCGGTCTTACTGTGTTTTGCTACATTGTGGTACAACTATGACGTTGTTTCAGCTTTGCTTTATTGAGCCTGGAATTGCATCTGGAGAGGAGATTGACCAGCTGAAGGTCTTATACGGCATCAATATTGAAGTGTAGGTAAGCTCTTCTTCTCTCTACACTAAGTTGATATGTGCACTATTTGAGATTGATTGATCCTTGAAGTTTGAAATGCCAATAATGTGTGAAAAGTGCATATCTATTTCGATTCCTGGATTTGCCACTCCAGGAATATCAGTTTGAGTTACTTTGAGCAAGTGGGGAAAGGCTAGAAATAGCATCTTCTTTATAAGTTGCTACTTAGCAATCTTCAAAATCACACATTGTTGGATTCATATGTATCAATTCTACTTCATGCTTTGGAGCCTGTAGAGTTTTGAGTAAACTCCTTCAGGTGCTGTTATCAAAGACGAGTGGGGTCCTATTTCCACAACCTGACCCCTGTCCATGACAACTATGATATCTGACCTCATGACAGTGGAAAGCCTGTGTGCTACTGTGATCTGTGTCATTTTAGAAATAAAGTCACGAGTGTTGGTTACTTTTGGCAATTCTAGAGCACTCACCACTGCTCTTTCAGATTCGGCATCAAGGGCACTTGTTGCTTCATCTAGGAGCATCACTGCTGGCCTTTTTAACAGAGCCCTTGCTATGGCTATTCGCTGTTTTTGTCCTCCTGAAAGTAGGCATCCCTTTTCTCCAACCACAGTATGATATCCATCAGGCAATGTGCTTATGAATTCATGAATATTAGCCTGTCTTGACACCTCTATGATCTCAGCTTCAGAAGCCTCTTGGTTCCCATAGCAGATGTTGTCTCTAATCGAGAAACTAAATAAAAGTGGCTCCTGCTGCACCAATCCAATCTGCAACCTCAGATTGTAGTGTTTTATACTTTTTCCATCAACCAGAACACTACCTTCCTTTGCATCATAGAATCTCAGCAAGAGGGCCAAAACTGAAGATTTTCGAGCTCCACTTGGTCCAACTAGCGCCACCTTTGTTCCGGCTTCAATTTTTAAACTGAAATTGTCAAGTACAGTCATTTCCTGTCTGGATGGGTACTTAAAACTGATGTTTTTGAACTCAATGTCCCCCTTGATTCTCTCAAATTGTGTTTCTGCTGGTTTGTCTGGTTCAATCTCAGTGTGTCGGTCAAAAGTTTCAAACACAGGTGTTAGTATGCTAATAGCAGAGAAAACTGTAGGTACTAAAGTCCAGAGTTCTGTGATTGATGGTACTGTGAGTGAGAATATCTGGTATGATCTAATTCCATTTTCAAAGCTGGCTTGCCCTCTTTCAACCAGATATGTTGTGTACCACAAAGCAACAGCATGGGCAATGTTCCATAAGCAAATGGATACACCTTGAATGATGCCATACTTAGCACTTTCCCTCCTGCTTTTCCTCAACGGTGTCTTCAGAGACAATTTGGCCTTTTTGAGAATTTGGTCTTCATGGCAAAAGGATGCCACAGTTTTAATGTTTGTTGCAGATTCAGAAGCAAGGGCAACTAGTTCTGAATGGGCTGCATTGGTATCACTTGAAAATCCTCTAGCTGATTTTGCCTGTACAAGGCCACCTATGAAGTGGCATGGCATCACTGCCCAAGCTACCAAACCCATTCTCCAGTTTACTTTCATGCTGACAACTGTTGCAATCAAAATAGAGGAGATGCATTGGACAATGACAGACATGCGATCAGCAATAATTGACTTGACTGTGGAAGTTTCATTGATGATGCGTGATGTTAGTGATCCAACACTGTTTTCAGGCTTTTCATACCAAGCTAACTCATTGCGTAGTGTAGCTGCAAGATTAATTTTGCTTGTGACTGGCTGCTTTTGAGTACTTGGGAAAGTTAAATGGACTTAAAATAGAAAAGAAAGCAATCAGTGAATTTTGCAACTCATTGTAATTGTGATACCTGTGAATAAAGCTTGTCTGAGGTTTGTCATGGCCTTCTCTCCGACCACTCCAAACAAGTAATGCTGCACAGTGTGGGCAAACAATGAGAGAATTCCTATTGAAGAAAAAAATATTGAATACCATCCAACTGTCTGCTTTGCATTAGTCTGGTAATATGTTACTCCTATTGTTATAATGCAGTAACCAAACACGGGCTTGGAGATGCCGGCAAAAGCTGCTGCAAAAGATGCAATACATATGTTGCTAATCTCTTTTCTATTCAATCCAAACCACATTCTGAAGAATATTGTGGTTGTTGTAATTTCTTTATGTTCCTGTTCCTTGGGAGGATCTCTGAGGTTTCTGTTCAATGGTGATGTAGGCTTTTCATGATGGTTTAGATATTGAGATGAAACCTGCACCTTGTCACTTGCAGTTTCTTCATTAGAATCTTTTGGTCTGTTTCATGAGTAATTTGAATCAGGGAAAGAGAATTTCAATTTCAAAATTATGTCAGTGTTTATTAAAACAAACACAAAGATATGGTATAGATTCAGTTTTGGATGCATTTGTGCATATAATAACCTGGGATCACTTTCTTGGTATATGTTCTGCATCCTGAATAAGTTATTGTAGGATTTACTGGTGTCCAACAAGTAATCATGTGTCCCTGACTCAGAAACTTTTCCATTTTCAACAACAACAATCATGTCTGCATTAATGATAGTTGACAATCGGTGTGCAATCAAGATGACCGTCCTTCCTTTCATTGCAGTGTCAAGGGCTTCCTGAACTAGTTTCTCTGATTCTGAATCAAGGGCACTGGTTGCCTCATCAAGCAAAAGAATTGGAGGGTTCCTGAGGATCGCTCTTGCTATTGCAATTCTTTGTTTCTGTCCGCCAGACAATTGGAGACCCCGCTGTCCTACCTGTAATTGTTCAACCGATCAGAATGTTCACTTGCCATTGGATTTGTACTTTAGCAGTAAAATGACCGGCCGCAACTCATCATCAGGCACCATAGCATGTGCAAATTGGGGAGGGGGGACTGGGTTTATCTCTTTGAATAGGGGGATAAAGACAAGCACGTATCCACCTTTTTGTAACGAAAGAGGAACTCTAAACATTGAGACCATTAACAAGTGCTTGGTACTCACTGGTGATTGGTTTTATATATCAGGGATTAATATCTGAGAATATTTTTCAAGTGTTGACTGTGCCGTCTATTTTATGATTTGAATACATGGTCATAAATGATAGTAATTCAAATTTTGCTCTTTAAAATGCAACCAGGTGTTTGTTTACTTTGCATATCAGGTAAGTTCTGTTAGCTCCGCTTGAGTTTGATATGTGTAACTACTAGTGTGTCATTCCAGTCTGGTGGATCACGATTTTCAAATGATATAATGCAGCAGGTGAAGATTTCAGTAACTTTAAGCTGCTGAAGACTCATCAGAAAGGACAACAATAATGATTGGTTGTTGACATTACTGTAGCTGAGGATGCAAAGGAACTGAATGGAAGTGCCATTCTCTCTTTGCTGGAGTATGTTCACTTTTCTCAGGTTGACTGCTTTACTATTTCTTTATGCATTGCAAAAATGTTTATGATGTTTTTTGCTAGTTTTTATCACTCATCAGTGGAAAATGTAATTGTGCCTGTGATAGGGATTTTTGAAAGGAGTAGAATCAGTATCAAATGTAGTGATTTTGTTGAAAAGTGCCTGACCTCTGTTAAATACTTGTCTGGTAGTTGGGATATAAAAGAATCTGCATTTGCTAAAAGTGCAGCATGCTGGATCTCTTCATCATCTGCATCCATCTTTCCTATCTTGATGTTATCCTTGATAGTACCAGCAAAGAGTGATGGCTCCTGGGAAACTAAGCCGAGGTTTCTCCTGAGGAACTTCAAATCAAGTTCCTTTATATTGTGGTTGTCAATAAAAATGTCACCTGAATGGTTGGTTGTTCGTTTAGATTGTACTCTTTGTAATTATAGTGTGTTAGGACCTTTGTGTAGGATGCATGCACACCATGATTTTTACCATCAAAAGACTATATGACATGGTTGATTTGGGTTTTCCAGGACTACTAACCTTTTTCAGGATCATAAAATCTAGCGAGTAAGGAGATGATAGTGCTTTTGCCGCACCCGCTACTTCCGACCAGTGCCACCACCTTTCCTGCTGGGATTGGAAATGAGAACCCTTGAAGGATCACCTTTTCCTGCCGGGAGGGGTAAGCAAAGTATATATTTCGGAGATCAATGTTGCCATCAATGGCTTCCAGTATCTTCCCTTTTGAGTCAGAATTTATTGCAGATTTTCTTTGGATCACCTGAAAGACTTCCTTCCCTGCAGCTTTTGCTTGGTTGAATATCTGCATGTCTGGTGCAGCATAAGTGAGTGATCTGCAATGAAGAAAGATGTAAAACCAATTGGTGACGGTCCCAGCTCGTGGCCTTTCTTCTGCTGTATGCAGATGGTTGGCAGAATCTATGCACGCATTTACGATTTATGTTTCTTACATAGCTCCGAAGAGGATGCTCATAACTGCAGCTATGACGTCTCCTCCAGTTGATCTCTTGTTCACAACAACAACTGCTCCGACCCAAACAATGAGAGCCCACGAAGTGAAGGTCACAGTTTGAAACATACCGGTCCCTGCACCCTTTATTAATGCTTCTTGCTTGCTTAAAATGAGTTGCTTCTCTAAGCACTTCGAAAGCGACTTGATTGCTCGGTTTTCTCCAACAAATGCGTATACGGTTTTGATCTGGGAAATCGTCTGTTATGAAAAAGGTAAGCACTGTATAAGTCCTCCTAACGTTTTGGACAATGCATACCTGTTAGCATCAAATACCTGAATCCTGCAGATGCAGAACTATTACCTGTTCTACCAGTGATGTAGCCTCGGAGAGGTACGTCAACTTGGTTGCCGAAATGGAATTCATCTTTTTGGTATAATTGGCTCCAATAAATAGAATTAGGGGAACAACGAACAACGTAAGGAGTGACACTTCCCAGCAGGATATGAAAGCGACGAGAACCCCCGAAACGAAAGTTGCCAAGCATGATAGGAAATGCCCCAGCTGTATGCGGGAGGCAAAGACTCGATTAGAAGAAATTGTACGACTCTGACTGAATAATTGTGCCGTTTGTGTCCGCTAAGCTACCTTTGGTGGTGGTATGTGTAGGACCATACACATAGGCAGGCAAGGTAATTGTGTTTAATAAAATCGAAATCTGAAATCTGAATATGTGAAGTTATTGAAATATCAAGTAGAAAAATTCTAACATTTGAGTGTATTATGTATTAAATTATAAGCGAGCAGTTTATCATTTATTGAAATGTCAGTAAGGTTTAAATCCATTAACTTTTTGACTAACGTATCAATCACTAGTTTTTTGTCCCCCCCTCCTCCTCCCCTTTCATTTGTAGAAGCCATAAGTGATGGAGACAACACGAAGGAGGAGGAGGAGGTAGGTGCAAACTTAAAAATGCGGACCTTCTCTCCAATAGCATCCTGTATGATGCGCATGTGATCGGTAATTCCGGTGATTACTTTAGCACTGCTTAAATCTGTATCGAAAGCTCCCATCTCCTGCCTCAGTACCGCTCTTAAAAAAGCCAGCCTCAGACGTGATACTTGTCTTTGGCTTGCATGCATCCAGCATCCTATCTCTGCATGCAATATTATATTTAAAACCATGGTATCACATAATATCTGGAATTTTACTTCATTCTTCTTTCACCTTCCTTCCCCAGTTTGATATTTTGCTTCTGCTCATTATAAGAAAGAAAGTTACCTACAACTCCGGCAGGAAACGTTGCAATGGCCATGTACCACACATACGGAACGACCTGGACAACCAGCCAGCCAACCAATCAACCAAGTGGGGTTCAGAAATTAATATACAAAAAAAAAAAAAAAAAAATTCAGGCCAGTTTCCGGGAACTTTAAATAATCATACGCTGCCCGGTTCTTCTGTTTTGCAGCAGTAATAAGTGGAGGAGTATTTAGATATTTAGATTGAGGCTTTCTTACTTGTTTCAGGGCTTTAACCATGGCATCAGTGTCGCTTATGTTGTTACCGTATGCATCAAGGGCTCTGCCCAGCAAAAAATAGCCTATGGGTTGAGCCAGTCCATGGATTATGGATCCCAAGGTACCCGTAACCATCATTACCCAATCCCATGCGTCTGCGTAGCTCAAAAGTTGGCGAAATGCCAATCCGCTGATGATGTTCTCGTCAGTAGCAGCAGTGGTTGGATCTGGACGAGCATCATGACTTTGCTCCCGCTTCTTCTGAATCTGCTGATTATCAACTACTTCTTGCATGCCTCCTGCCCGACCTCCGCTGTGTGGAGCTTTGATCTTCAGAGGAGTTTTTTCCACAGTGTTGCACTTGGTACCGGTGGTCTCTGCTGGCAAGGTATACATATATATATATTCTTTGATGATATTAATAACAGCAATGCTGGCTGGTGATGAAGTCTGCCTGTTGGAATTGCATTGGGTTTGATGATTACTATGACCGACGGGTATATATTGCAGTATATCCATTTAGCATTCACGAGTGTTTCTTAAATATGGGCTCGTTTGTATTGGTGAATATTAGAGCGATGTTGACACCTCGCAAGAAGACGGATGGTAGAGCTATAGCAGACAATCCAGAAGCTGATTTAGTTTATTCCAGAATGCAAGCCAAGCCGTGTTTATTATTCTTTGATGATAGATGATACGTAGTCCTTTTGTAGTTAGTACTTGTAATTTTCAAAGGAGGCCGGGATCCATCTAAATTGGCTCAATGAGATGGATCGTTTGCCAATGGAAAATGGGTGCAGTTTTCGGTGTACATGATTAATATAACCCACTCGTTGCAAAAATTTATTTTGTGTTATCATGATGTAATCCAAGAACAGGAATACATGCATGCATGCAGGGGACTTAGGTTCCGTTTACGTTATCAAACAGACCCTTTTTTATGTCTGAAAACATCTGAATGTCTGAAAATGTTCAGATTCAGCACTTTTTTATGTTATCAAACAGATCTTACTGTTAAAGAGTGTAGAGTAGACCCATATCGTATCGTATGTCCGGCGATTCTGGAATATGCTACTGTAGCATTTCATCGTTGGTGTCAACATAGTAGCAGCAGTTTGTTGCTGCTCACTCATTTTCATTTGCTTCTCAGTTTTTGTCGTATAATTCCTAGATAGTACTTAAAAGATACTCATACAGTAGTAGTATAGCGTATTTGTTTGTTGTTGGTGTGCAATGTGCATCAATCAGAGTGGGGCTAGCCATTGGAACAACCGACAATATATAGATAGGCCTATAAATCTAATACTGACATTATCATAATCCATTTCTAAAATCATTAAGAAGAAAGAAAGAGAAACACAAAACCGAACCCCCAAAAAAAAAAAAAAAAGAAACACAGAGTGATGGCCCCGGTGGACCTGGGTAAGGACTTTATAGTTGTACTAGCAGCACTCTTTATCGTGCATTACCATACCAAAAATGGTGTTGGGCTAAAAGCCTGCAATCTACTTCATCATCCGAGGCGCCTCCACCTGACCGCCAAAGATTCAAGAATCCCCAGCCCCCCACCCCCGGGGGTGGGGGCCTTTTTTTTTCCATTGGGTGTGGGGGTGGGGGGAGGACGCCTGCAGACTTCAGCAACCACGTGAAAGGACCTAGTGAGCGTCATCTCATCTCAACAACTTGATATCTAATCTAAGTTGGTCGGCTGCCATTAATCTTGATACAGACTCCGCCCCGCCTTAGCCTTCAATTCATTTATCAATTTCCTAGAATATATATATTAACTAGTAGTATATGTTATGTGGTGTGGCTGTACTACCAAAATATGCAAGCCCTCCATTTGGTTTTCTATTTGTAGCTCTGTTTCTTCAAGTAAGTACTAATTTTTTTTCCCCTTGCATTATTCAAAGCAATTATAAATGACGTAAAATTCAATGCATCTATATATCAATAGTAGTACTACTAATAGTAATAAAAGCTAGAGAGTGGTCTTCTTGCCAGCGCTTCTCACTCAGTCTCTCTGCTTCTGCTTTCCTACCTGAATTTGGGACTCTTTTGAGTACATTCTGGTTAGCCTGTGTTTCTTTCTGTGCGAACTCCTGGCGGACGCCGAATAACAATGGCAGAAGAAGAGGAGCAAAAGTGGGAGCAAGAAGAGGAGTTGGAACGAGTAGAAGAATTGTCGTCATTAAAATTAAGGCGGTCATCTACTGCTCGCACTACCTCTACTGGTGCTTCTCAAGATACTAGTGCTACTGCTTCCACTGCCACTTGTACTTCTACTACTAGTCAGTTGGACGGAAATGGCAATTGTAAGACCAATGGGCGTATAATTGAGCCGCCCTCCAACTCCGTCACTGAAAATGAAGTTGATCTAGATGGGTCAGTTCTTGATCGAGATAAACGAGAGGGGCCGGACAAGATTGCTGCTTTATTTGATAGTGTGTTTCACAACCATACCCGAATCACAGATGCTCACTCCAGGTCGGAACCTTGTGTTTACTATGACAAAGATGGAGGCAAGTTTCTTCTTCTTACCTTTCAAGAGAGTAACTTGTTGATCTGTATGCTCTCTGCTGTTGGTTTTCAACTCTTTTTTGTTCTGTAAGCATGTGCAAACCTGGCTTGCTTTGACCCTACCTGTCTGAATAACTTCAAAGGGCGCCCCTTCCTCTTTAGCTTTTGATTGTTACTATGACCCTACCTATCTGTTTGCCTTTGGGATTCTCTCTGTTTCTGTCCCCATGGTTTTTTGCTTTCGCACGAATACTTTTGCCAATTATTTCAAAAGTTCATCTTGTTGTGAAACTGGATTGGGGTCTAAGAACAAATCGGATGGGGGTTTCCTGCAGCTGGTGGCTATGTCTTAGTCTCATCCCACTTCAATTTTGAGGTAGCCAATTTTCTTTTCTTGAACAATGTGCTTATAGATGTGTTGAGGCGAAATCACACTCAGTTTGAGAGTTACTTTTCGGTGACCTTTTGCTTTTCTTTACCTATCTGTCGATGGTTGTTGTCTGGATCTCCTCCTACCTCCTTGGTTTTGTACTCCGAGTGCTGAGTTGATGTTGCCCAGATAGTTTCATTTATTGAGACAAGAAGAAACGGTTCAACTGCAAGTACAAAAATGAATTATTTTCCATGACTCTGTAAATTGTTTTCCAAGTAAACTTCCAGTAGTTTCATGCGTCTTGGAGTACCTCTATCCCTTTTTGCTGGTCCATGTCATGATATACCACAACATTGTGATCCCAGCTTGTGCCAATTTGTCTGATACAAGAACTGCCGCACTTCTCTCTATCACATTGACTGAAGTATTATCTGCACTCTATGGATGGGACAATCTGCAGTAGTTTTGAGTTACAATCACTTCTTCTTGTTGTTCCTTTTTGTGAATGAAGGACTATGGAAGTGTCGCTTCTGCTTTTGGACCTATGCAACTGCACGTCTTTCTGTTGATCTTATTCAAAAACTTAAGGGGCCCTTATATGAGCTGATGATTCACAAAACTATAAATCAGAGGGAACCATGTTTCACATTTGAACTAGAAGGTCAGTAGATACTTGAATAATAGAGAATTTGATGTTATTGCACTTACTAGAAGTTTAAGTTGTCTGTTCAAACACATAAATTTTCCATGGAGGACTGGTAGGGCCAACTTCTGAGATAACTGCTTGCTGATACTCGGCTTTGGGCATGGGGCAATGTGACACAAGTCAATAACATACCTGCTTAGTGCTGCTAAATTATATGGAAAATCAAGTTTACTAATTAAACTTCTGCTGTTTTTGCAAACACTTCTAACTTTCTCGAGTTTGAGCAGTTGTCTCCATTTGTTGCAACAGATTCATGCCTATATTCTGCAGGCAATATATTTGGATTTAGATCGCAAGATTGCTATTGAATGCTTGCTCTATTGATGCAGGGTCGCGAGCCAATTCCACATTTTGTGGAGATGACCATGTTGAGGGAAACACTGGTGTTAGAATATATGAGACCAGAGAAGGGAATTCTGGTGCTCAGAAGAGCTGTGATTCTGTAATTGACTGTAGAGTGGAGGGAAACAAGAAGGATAGTTCTAACTTGACAAGTCTTCAGCATTCCCCAGTTCTTTATGACGAATGCAGTGAAACTTACAAGTCCCAGGAAATCCAAGAAATTGAAAACGATGATATTGACCTCATTAATGGAAGTGGTCTGGACGTTACAGAATTAGATGTTGAGAGAGTACTTGAAAAACAAAATACACATGATTTGTACTGTCCAAACTGTAATTCCTGTATTACTCGAAGGGTTATTCTTCGCAAAAGAAAACGCCAAGCTCGCATCACTAGTGAAGATGTTAGACGTAAGAAACTAGAAACTGAAGTTGAATCCAGTTTGACTCACTGTTCTGGACAGGGCCAACAAGCAACCAGCATTGAGGTTCATACTACTGAAGAAAATCCATTGGATGATACTTCTCAAGCTGCAGAGAAGTATGAACGTGAGAGAGAGACTGATATCTTCAGATGCTTATCATGCTTCAGCTTTTTCATTCCAACAGGTTTGATATGTTGCAATTTGAATGAAATGAACAGTTAAGATCTATGTGAAAGTTCAGACCTGCTTCTTTTCCAGGCAAGATGAAATATGCACTTTTAGTTTCCTGGTTGTGCAACAACTTATTGAGAACTATTTGTAAAACATGCTAAGCACTATTCATTGCCTATTTTTGCTTGGAGTGAAGATAAACAATTATATGACTTTGTCTTTGTTGCCCATGGTGTCCCTACTTCCTTTTTTATTCAACTGTCTCCTAATGTAGAACCAGTATTACTTGATGACATTTCTGAACTTGGGAAAGGGTCTCATGGCATGCAGGAAGGAAAGGTCAATGATGGATTATGATATTATCTATTTGGCAACACAGGTTACTGAGACCATACATTCAACATGTATTGTTGAGTATCCCTGTATAGTGATTATCATTGGTATTGCAGGAGAGAAAAGTAGTTCACTTGACATATTCACTTCCAAAGAGGTCTACATTCTTGGAACTAGCACATCAGGCCGACAGTTCTGATGTTTGGCTAGCTAAATCTCAAGTTTTCTTGCCAAAATTGAGGGTTATATTGGTCATTTAACGCATGAAGGGCACAGTTTGACAAAATTTTTCCCAGAAAGTTACTGTACCATGACATGCTTTATCACCTTCAAGTGTTTAGGCAACACTAAGTCCTCTATTTGGATCTCAAAGTGAAAGGTAGTGAAGTATTACCTTGTGCAAGTTGCTCATGCATTTGTGAATTGTTACATCTAAATTGTCCTTTTCTTTTAATTCCTTTTCTATTGTGAAAGCATGCATTTGTTACATCCAATTGCCCTACCAGTGGTGTGAGTGCACTTTCCTGTTGCAACTTGGGAGGGGGATGATGATTTACCTAGACAGCATGTAACTCAGCTTTGTGACCACTGAGTCCATGCACGATAGATAAATCATGAGAAGTCACATGCATGATAGATCAATCATGAGAATGCATGATGCAGATGTAACTAAATTTGTTGGGATTGCATGCAAAATGGTTTCAAGAAACCTTCAGTTATTGTCTGGGCTATGGGTCATACCATGTCAAAAAAATTCAGTATTTCTTGTTGAATTTCAGGAAATGGGTTTAAATTGTTTAAGATATTTGGAGATAAAGCTGAAAAGAAGCCTGTTAAAGATGAGCAGAAATTGACGAGTAAAAGCGGGATATCCTCTACTTTTGCATCAGATAGGGAGAGAACTTCAGAGCCAGGTTTCTAATCCTATTCTCTTTTCTGTGTATGGTATATTAACTAGCACTGGGATAAAATTCACCCATTTTGTATAATTTTGTTATGGTGTACCGAAGTTGGTTCCTTCTCCTAACTTTGCGACAATGTACTTTATCTCCTTCCTATTGCTTATTAGAGCCTATTCTCATCTGCTTCAGTTTTTCTAGACCTGTTTAAAGAAAGTGCTTTCTGAAATAGTTGTTAAAACTTAATAGGGTAAATTTGAATATGACAATTTTGAAAAATACAAGCAATGCCACACTAATGAACATTTTCAGGAACAGTTTTGTTTATATAAGATAAGCTAAAACCATAATAGGAAAGCAAACTAAGACACTTAAAGAAAGCTAAAATCTTCTTCTCTATGGAAACAAAGAATCGGAAATGAAGATCGCCAGAAAGAACAAGTACAGCGTCACAAGAATACACTTCTCCAATAACTTAACATGAAGCATAACTTTTCAAGATTGTAAGAGGTTTTTCTCGATCTTGAAGCTCAGTTAGAAGCAGCTACCAAGTGGACACTGAATTATGGGCAAATTCTGGTCTGAATTCTGGGGACTGAGGGGATTATTTTTGTTTGCTGTTGGAGACGAGCATTTAGATTTTGGTCTGAATTCTGGGGATTGAGGGGGACTACTTTTGCTTGCTGTTGGAGACAAGCATTTAGATTTTAGCCTTGAAATAAAGCTATAAGTCGGTCCACTCATTTTTTTCTAGTTTTTATCTTTTTACAAAGTCTAGAGAAACTGAAAATCAGAAGCTGAGTGGACCAGCTTTCAAATCACCTTTTTTTCCCAGCATCTTAAATGAAAAGCAATAGACAAGAATGCAGCTGAAATCAAATGTTTTCCTCTTTCTAGTCATCATATAACCAGGGAAATAAAGATTCATAGTGCTTTTGGAAAAAGCTTTAGGGTAATATGGTTAAAGTTATTCCTTTTCTTAGAGTTGTGTTTCTTTGCCTGCAAAGGGATCTAGCATGTCCTGTTCTTGTGGTTTCAGGACTAATTGCAGTAATGTTCTGCAGGCAATGTTTCTAGGTCAGAGGCTTTAACAACAAACAGTAGCACATCTCTTCTGGCATCGCATGGGAATGGTCAGGATGGTCAATCCTTCTCAATGCTAAAAGATCTCTCAACCAACCATGGGAAAAGCATTTATAGGAGCCGAGTTGCTGAATCTGAGGTAGATGGAGATAAGATTTCACCCTCTTCAAAAGAAGAAATCTTGATCAACGGAAAAGAGGTGCTGAATGCAGGAGACAACTGTAACAATACAATTAAGAACAGAGGTACAAGAATGATCACTAAATTGTACTTTTACATTTGAAGGTTATGAAAGAAGCCCTCAGAAAAGTCGAAGGTAGTTAAAAAACTTGCGAGTCATCTCATGTGCAATTATGCACGAGAGATATGAATTCGTTTCCAACTGACAGAACCTTTTTTTATTATCACATTGAAATCCTTGTAAATTACTTGCAGCATTGCTATAGTTCTAATTCTCTATGACCATTTGACCTTACTAGTTAAATACGTGTTTCTGGTATTGGGTGTTGAAGATTCTCATTTCTGTGCATCTACAACGTTAGATAATTGATGTTGTCTACCTAAAGGAGGCACAATTTATATTGGTAATGAAATAGAAGGTTCTTTATGACTTTTTTATGTGTCTGCTTTGTAAACTATGCATATGTGGCTGCATCTATTCCTTTGCTTGTAAATACTTTGAAAAAAAAAACTGATTTGGTAATGTTTGGTCATTATTATTCATAGTATCTTCAGTAATATTTGGTATATTCTTGGTATTAATGTCTTCATTGTGCATGATGACAAGAATTCAGTATATGCTCCTTGCAATAAAAATTGCTGTTCTTCCTTCTAAGCTACTCACCTAATCTTTTTGGCCCTTGGATACAGGAGATGCTGCAAAGGGCCACTTTGAATCAGCAACTGGCAGTCAGCCAAACACATCAAACAATTCCATAAACAGTGTAGCATATCATCAAAGTGACTCATCGAGGGGCCACTTTGAAGCAGCAACCGGCAGTCAGCCAAACACATCAAACAATTCCATACACAGTGTAGCATATCATCAAAGTGACTCATCAAAGGCACCTATTGACAATGTACCTGTTACTAATGGAGAATCTCTAATTATTGAAAGTGAGCAAAACTCATCAAACATTTCAGTAAATGTTGCAGCATATCATCAAGGTGATCTGTTTAGGGTACCCACTGACAAAATTCCAGTTATGAATGGGGTGTTATCTCCAGAAGATCCTGTACCAGGAAATCAACCAGATGGACTAAAGCTTCTGATTTCTTCACCTGGCGGTTCACCTGCTTCCGAGAAATCACGTGTAGGCCAAAATCCTGACTTGTCAACACAAAACAATGGTGCAGGTACATTCTTTTAAAAATTAGAGGCAAAAACTAGGAATCACCTGAAATGAAGGAGTGCACTTCTTTATGGTATTGCAAGATATTGCCATAATCCACTTGAAAGTTAATTTATTTTTGTCTTGCCATAATCCACATTCAATCCTTTCTCCTAGTCCAGTTGTATTTTGCTAGTCTTCCCTTGTCTTCCCAAAAGGTAACACAACGCCTTAATTTTCCTTCAGTTAGCAATTTTTAGAATCAAATATGGATAGACAAATGAATATATTACTTGATATGTCTCGAGAAAATATCCACATATTGGGGCCATAATTTTGTTACAAGTCTACAGGTGAAAAAGATGCAACTTTTGAACTGAGCAATTGTGATGCAAATAGATTCTTTGTTAGTCAGTTTCTGCTTCTCTAGTTGATAGTTGGAGCTTTTTGACTTTCAGTAGAATTAGATAGTTCAATTGAATAAGACGATGGTCCTAAGTGATGTCACATCTTAAATATTGGTCTCTAGAATAAACATATACTGATTTATTGATGTAATGTCTTTGTCAATTGTTTGTCAACTGTGCTGAAGCGTGGACCGATTTAGCAATGTTTTCATTCACAGTGTTAATTTAGGATCAGATATTGTAGAGTTTCTTGCTTGAGGTTTGCCTTCATCTTTGTTACACGTGGATATGTGTGTGTGTGTGTGTGTGTGCATCTAGTATATGTTATTGCATTTTGCTTTTAATATCAACTACAAGCATTAAAAATCTAAAGACGTGTTTCACGAACATTCACAGCTTAAGATTCTGAAAATATTCTGATATCTAAATGATGGTTGTGTTTCAAGGAGATTAAGAATACCTTACATCCTTGACAGATGGAGCCTACCTGAATGAAAATTCTCCGCAGACCATCTGCAATAACAAAGAGGAGACTCATTTTGGGAAACTCTTCAAAATTAACAAAGATCCTGCAGTTTTGTCGGTGAAAGGTATTTCACTAAATCAAGACATACCAGCTACTATAGCTAAAGATCTGAGGAAGGTAGCAGCTGAGCTAAATTCAGGTGAAATTGCAAACTTCAACTGTAGTCAGGCATGGTTGTCAAATAAATTCTTGTAGAGTAAATCTGTAGGGTTCTCTCCCTTTGAGACTAGTTTTTGCTAATAGAAGGAGCTTGTAGTTTCCTCTAATTAGAAGTTGAACAAGAAAGATTTGCAGTTATATACAGACGGCACACACGCACCCACGTTGATGCATCTAGATCTTCCTCCCTCCCCATGAGATTTGAATTACTTGTAAGTGGATGTTGAAAATTCCAAGTTTGTATAACTTACTGTCTGGAACGTGTTTAATCCACAATTCCTTTTGGTACACACACATACACAGGGAGGGAGGGAAGAGGAGAGGAGAGGGGGGGGGGAGGCAGAGAGTGCTTAGTTGTTCATTCATCCTGCAATCTGTTTAATTTCATCTATTTCCTTGATCTTGAGTTCAATCTTACAGATCTTTTGAAATATCAACACTTTTTCCAATTGCTGTTGTAGATCTGCATTTCTAACTCAAAGCGCATGATTCTTGTGTCTTTAGTGATGCATGCCAATGGGTATCTAATTCTTTCTTGAGGGAAACTCCTAATTGACTGCTGTCATATTACAACCTGTTGCAGGCAAGGATACAGTTATAGTAGTAGAATCAGAGGCCATCAGCACAGTGGCTTCGCAAAGGCAACAAGACTTGACTATTTCAGAAGAAACAGTGACCTCAGCAAATTTAACTACAAATATCTCTGTGACTGAATCCACAGGAGCTGACGTTAGACAAGCATATGAAATTGAGATAATTAAAAGCATTGTTTATGGTGGTTTAGTCGAATCAATTACTAGCCTAGGTGTTGTTTCATCCGCAGCTGGTGGTGATGCCACCACACGTAAGTTTTATAGATGGCTGGTGATACCATCAAGATTTGTTTGCCAGACTGCTATGACCACACATTTATTTGCTTTAGTTCATCTGGAACTAAGATTAGATGTAGTTGATATCTTGCTTTGCTTTGCATTTTTTTTATATTGAACTGTTTAACTTTAACTGAAGAAGAAAGCAGTCTTTGTCCTTACTGAATATTGTTTACTTGAAGCAACGTGTCTTGGTAGTTTTTAATGTGTTTAATATGCCTGGAGACGTCTTATATACTGAGAATCATTGCAGTAAAATGTGAATTAACAATCTGAATATTATCTTCTCTATCCCAGTTCAATGGTCCAAGTCTAGATGATACACTGTTGAGTGCTCATGCTCTTTTTTATTTTTTAACATTTCCGTACTGTTGTGCTGCTTCTTAGTTCCATGGAGAGGAAGTTATGCGTATTGTCCTTGCTATAAAAATGCATTGCATCAAAGGATTCCTCCTTAGTTTATATTTGTACACGTTCCCTTTTTTTCCTTTGTCATTTAGGATTTATGGCCCTTGAATTGTACTTATCGTACAGCATATTGTTGCAAAATGTTGTTTTCTTTTGAACAATCTCATTGGTTTTTGTTTCACATCTTGCTGCAGTGAATATTCTAGCTCTAACATTGGCCAATGTGATTGGTGGACTTGTACTAATTGGTCACAATGTGAGTTGATTTAGTTTCAACTGCTTTCTACTAAGCATTCAATGTTGGTTTATCACAGCTCTGCTGCATAAAAGGTTGTGCAGTAAACTAAAAAGATCTCATTCCAATTACCAATTGATTTCCTGCCTAGACCCTGAAAAAGCTATGAGAATACGTGGCGGATTTTCCATAATAATTAAAATAGATCTTGACATTAGTTGCGAGTGTTACATTAAACAAGTTCTATAGGATCGTATTCATAGAACTATACAAATATTAATTTCTGTTGCAAGTGTTAATTTAATAACCTGCTCCATTTTGCACCCAAGCATGTGAATTGCATTGTTGCAGGTCCAGTCTGCAATCTCTGAGTGTTTTTGTTAGCTTACTGTGGACCTTGAAATCTGGTACATCATTCAGAACATTAGAACACTTATCTTTTGCTGAGTATGCACATTGCGCTTGGATCACTATCTTTTAGTCATTCTACACATCAACCTCTATTTTGGGGATCACTGTTGGTTTTTGTCTGTCCAAGCCGCGGTTTAAGGCTTAAACCATCAAAACACGCCAATTGTAATTGATCTTTTTGATCGAATCTAATTTTGAACTTCTTCTGAAACTGACAGCTCTGGGACCTGAAGAAAGAGCAAGTAACAGAGCAGATGGATCGGTACAAGGAACTACTGGGCAGCAGAGAAAATTTTTTGCTTCATACAATTGTTGTCACACTATCTTTTGTAGTATTTGGTCTAATCCCTCCCATTGTTTATGGCTTCTCATTTTTAAAGAGCGGTAACAGGGAACTCAAGCTTCTTGCAGCTGCGGCAGCTTCCCTATTATGCATTCTAGTGCTAGCCACTGGGAAGGAATATGTTCGAAGGCCACCCAAATCATATGTGAAAACCATAGCATACTACATACTTCTGGGCTTTATGGCCTCAGGAATTTCTTATGCTGTTGGTCAGCTGATCAAGAGTCTCCTAGAGAAGCTCCATTTCCAGTCAAATTCACCTGTTTTCCAGGGCCTTTCCAAGATGATGCCTACTGCTGCAGAATGGGCATCATATTGACCATTTTTCAGGAATTTCTCGTGCTGTTGGTGAGCTGATTAAGAGACTCCTGGAGAAGCTCCACTTCCGTTCAAATGCACTTGTTTTCCGGAGCCCTCCCAAGATGGCGCATGCTGCTGCAGAATGGGCATCGTATTGACCATATTTCATGATCATGTATACCTAATGTCTGCTTGTCACATATACCTTTCTTGGTCATTCTGCTTGACATGTAGTAGAATTCAGATGACAGTTCTACAATTTTTCACATTTTTTTTTTTTTTTGGCTTCGTCTTTAAAGGAGGATTCAGATGACTACTTTTGAGTTTTCCTCAATTTTTTCTTAATTTTCTTTTCCTCAATTAGGAGTGGGCAGAAAACACTGTTGACATGTTAACCCGCGATATCTGTTTTGATCTGCTGTGAAGATTATGGTACCTGATCCGCATATTTTACAGGATCAAAAGAGTTGATACCAACTTAAATGTGGGGTGGATTAGGGTCAGAGGTTTAGAAATTGGTTGGTATCTGATCTGTCCCGCACACACACAATATATATATTTAAAATTTAAAATTTTTATATACATATACAAAATATTATTTTTAAAGCTAACTAATAAAAAATATTATTTTAAAGCTAAGTAATTTCATTAGGCAAATTGTAGTTGAAATATGAGAAATTATAATTTGTTTATAAAATTCATTTGCAGAGATCATAATTTTATTTTCTTGGAAAAAAGTTTAATTAGTGTAGAATATATTAGAATTGGAAATGTTTAGTACAATTTTCATTGATTTTGGATTCTTGTTAATATATATATTTTTATTTTATACTCTTTGTTTTTTTATGTCTAGGCATGAGACTTTTTTTGGGTAAATTTTATATTAAAGTTTAGACGAACGTGTTAACTAGAAAATTAAATTAATATAAATCATTTTCTAAAAAAAATAAATGACGAGATGGGCAGAGTAAGTACTTGTTCTTGCCTCTCGGGTCAGCTCAGCCAGTGAATCTTTGGGGGTATTTTTTATAGGACGCGGTTTAAGTCTGGCTTCACATATCGTCTGGATACTCTTGGAGGGCGAGGTACCTCAGGTCCAAAGAGATTAGTCTGACAAAATTGAGATACTACTCGAGTTGAAAAAAAAAAAATTAACTTGTTCTCTTTTTCAACAACTTTTTTTCAACTAGTATTGAATAATTGGTACTCCCTGTTACATCGAATAGGCAAGGTATGCGGTAAGTAACTGTGGGGCTAATGCCCATTCTCGTAGTAGTGGGAAAACATTAGCTGGCAAATTTGATTTGACCGTTCTGTCTCTGATATACCGCAGAAATTTCGTCACGCACAAAAAACGGCTGGATCCCATGGAAATTTTCCTCAATCCTTAAATATACATGTCTCTAGCTTTCCGGGCAATCGTGGATGGGATTCTGACAGTCTCAATGACCTCCCCTGAAGTTGCGAAATTCCCATCTACCTCTCCTGATTATTGGGCCCCAAATATGACATCATGTACGTTGAATTGACAGAAATATTCCTGCTATTGAAGTAATATATTTTGATAATGGGATGAAATAATTAGTGACATAAGTAATAGATAGGATTAACTAACTTAATTGGAATTTGGATGCAAAATAAATTGCTAATTTCAGTTAAGAGAAAAGGCGCCAAAAATGGGCGCTCATTTGGTTGTTGATGTGACAATGAGAGCTGGTTGATCGTTTATATTGGTGATGTTCATAGACCTTCATCAGCCATACTTAGAATGAGAAGAGCATTTGAGAGCTCCAAGAGAAGCAGGAGAGTTGAAGAAATTGAGGTGAAGTATTGCTAGAAAGGGTGAAGTATTATTGTTCTGAGAGCATATGAAGCGAAGCAAGGTTAGATAATACGAGAATGATTTTCTACTACTACGAGAATTGGGCAATACCTGGAATCGTGGGGGAAACGAGGCGGAGCAGGACATGGGAGGCAAGGGGCGGGGAATGAAGGGAGTTATTTGACAAAGGGGCGAGGAACGGGGGAGGATCCCCCGCCCCATTGCAACCCCTAGCGAGGTTAATACTCATAAGGTATCACAAAAAATTTATCCAATAAACATTTTCTGAACAAGTTAAAAGGTGGCAGGACAAAAGTATTGTATCTACGTCAGAAACTTCACACGCACTTCTTCTCAACTAATGATCTCATACAAAACATGACAAAAAACATTCAACTCGATTTTACTTCTCACGTTTCTTCAGAAAGACATTTAATCAGAAACAAGAATTGACATTTCCAAACTTATGAGCTCCACAACCATTTTTATACATCCATTGCTTTTTGGGAGCTGCTTAGCAACCAATCAAAATAGTTGCATATTTGATTAGATGAAAAACAAAAAAGACAGAAAATAAACCATAGGTCCATAGCTACATCCAAGATTAATATGAACAGTAAGATGCATAAAAGGTTTTTGAAAGTACAGAAATCGAATTGTGAACACTCAGGCAAACAAAACTTCTGGAGATCCTTTTGCTGGAAGCAATCAATCAAAAGTACACTTTTAATGCAGCAGGACTTCCTAGACCAACCACTAAAATGCACAAGAACATTCCGCGTGAACCGGATTTGAGTTGTGGTACACATCTCATGACTGAATATTCTACTCCAATTTCCATAATCCGAGGTCAAAGTCAGATATATCATCAGAAACCTACTCACGTAACATCTGAGGGCCACAATGTAAAAACACCAGATCAGGTCAAGTCCTCCTCCAGTGATTGTAGTCCTAACTCAAGTAGGAACCGAGTTTTCCTACTCATTGATGCTTACCAGATCCCTGATCCAATTCTTGCTTGCTTTTGCCTTTCTTCATTTTAGCTTTAACCCGAGATTTGGTTACAAGTGTTTGCACTGTGTTGGCAAAGTTCCCAACTGCCATGATTATCAAGAGGATCCCACAGGTGATCACCTGCCATTGCACATGTGATTAATCCATATTTTGAGGCAACGTAAAAAGAAAAAAGCATTGCAGAACCACTTAATGATGTACAAATAGACCTACCTGCCACTCAGATATAACACCAAGAAACGCAGTTTTAAGCAACAGTAGTCCAACATATGCTTCAAAACCCTGAAGCCAAGAGTAAAAGATTTCTTCTTAAGAGATTTAAGTAACAATATTGTTCTTCACCCACCGATGCAGAGTACAGAAGATTAAACTTGTACAGATGCAAGTCATCCCTGGTAAGCCATAAATCAATTACATCCAATCCAACAGGGTTGCACCGAACTAACATGTCTTAATTTGTTCCTGCTACACTTTCTGATATCAGACATTCAATCCTCTTATGGTTTCATTGGGCATGAAAGGAGAACAGGCATATTCATGTTCACCCAAAGTTACCACAAAATAATATAAGCAACTCAGAAATGTTCACAACTATGAAATGTCACGTGACTTTATGCATTTTTCAGCCCTTCAGCACTTGAAGTCCATTAACCTAAACCTAACAAAGGGCCAATAGACTTTGAATATTGCAAGCATCTCCTTCAAAAAAATGTGATATACATGCACCATCCTGTTGAAAAAGTTCTAAGGAGAGCCTAAAAGGTTGAACAACATTGCCACTGAAAAGTGGTAATTATCAAAGATAAACACAATAGAAGACCTAGTTGACTTCAACAATGTAAGTAACATGGCCCAATAATCAATTATAAAGTGTGAAAGCTTACATATGTCTTGTCCAACCTAATTCTACATCAGGGTGTGATCTAGAATATAAAAATCATCTGCTTTGACCAAAGTAAATTACCTGCAAGATGAACAGTATCGGGCATAGCAGCCATAACTGACCCTCCACTCCAGCAGTTTCACCCCACACTACGTCCATTCTGCCAGCCTACAAGTAAATGCAACAACTCCAGCAAATTTCAAATATAAAATTCACCCAGAACCACAATAACTTTGGACCAGCAACTCATACACTATTTAGTTTTTTGCATAAGTTACTACAAAGTTGTTTAAACGAAATGAAATTACATAAAAATTCCCAATTATTTTAGGCAACATAATTTTTCTTAGAGATTTACATCCACAAGATATAGAGAAAAGAACAAAAACATCCACAAAAAGACAATTATGGCATTCTCTTATACCTTGCCCAAAGCAATACGAGTATACAATCTTTGTCGTTGATATCTATTCTGAAGAAGCATGGCAATTCCTTGCATGATTGCCCATTTCAAGTACAGTAGGACTCCTTTCTGCAAGCATATTGTCATTACCAATCTCTATTTAAAAAAAAGAAGAAGAAAGAAAACCCTAAAATGGAATTAAAGCAAGTGATTTTTTTCCTAGACTGGAGAAGTAAATGCATGTTTTATTCTCTAAGTGTATGTATTAGTACCTGCTTCTGAGCACAATCCGGCCCTCTTTCTATCTCCCAAGTAAGACTTATAAGTGCCATTGCCATTGCAAAGTAATGATGGTATATCCACCTGCCCAAAAAAAAAAAAAAAAATTCATGACTAAATTGGTTAAAAACTAGCTATCGCTTGAAGGCTTGACACGCCACAGAGGAAGAAAAGACAATGTATTTTTTTTGCATTTTCATTTGAATTTTGTCATTTTTGATATGAAGGACAACATCTTTGTTATAGGGGCATAAAAGCATCAAAAATCAAGTTTCAGCATTTACAAGTTGAAGACAAAGTAACTAGTACAGAACAGGTCAGAGAACAAAAATCTAATGTAAAGACACTTGAGTAACTGTAATAGTGCAATTCAAGTAAAACATCCAGTCCCTTGTTGAACAATCAGGTCCAAGAAAAAGCCATACTACCAATGTCTTTTGTGAAGAAGAGTTTTCCCTTTTGCTGATTCTTTTTTTGGGTAAGAAGCAGAAGAAATTGTACAACTAATGACACAGAAATATACACACGCACACACATATTTACATATTAGCTCAAGCCATTATCCATGAGAACATCAAAAGTGTCAATTTAAATAGCTATTGAGGATGGTTAAAATGACTCAGTAATATAACTGATTTATTGGAATGCTCAACTAAAGTCTAGTTTCCTCGGAAGGTGTGACTTGTGTTTCAACTCTGCACTCCATCTTTACTAGCAAATTACCCACTCTGTATCAAAGTTTGTGCCCTTTCATGTTATTGCTCTCTAGCATCTGATTCACATTTCTATATATCGATGTCCTTGTGGAATTCAAGAAGAACGGAAAGAATCTTGAAGCATTCCATAGATGACAAGACTATGAACCCAAGAAGGGATTTAAAAAAAAAAAGATTCCACGTAAAGCAGCAGACCGCTGAATTTGATTACCATGGGCGAATATCACTTCCATTGACCCTCAGTATGTTCTCTCGTAAAGCCAAACCAGTATAGAGATATAACAACCAGGCCTGAAATAGATTATCAAGAGCAAGGTTCTTGATCATAAGTTCAAAAATCAGCAAAGAAGAACCTAAATCAATTAAAGACTGCTACCTGGTAAAGTTGAACTGGCAATGCCGGAAGACATCCATTCCAGATCCACGACCTTAAAACAATTAGCAGCAACGGGAAGAAAAGGAACAGATATGCTGTTCTATCCTGTTCAAGAGAGGTTAAGAGGATTTTTTTTTTTTTCAGTCATTAAAAAGGGCAAAAAGGATGCCACCTAAGTTCTACTCTAGACAACTGCATTTTGTTCACAATCAAGATCAAATCATAATCAGAATTCCCCTTCTAAAATAAATTTGACACACTCCAAGAAGTGAGGAGTCAAACAAACAGCTGCAAGTTTCTGATTAGGTTTAAGTCAGGAGTTCAATTTTTATACACCCCCCCCCCCCCCGGGGTGACTAACAAGAAGTTCCCTAAATCCTGGTCCAACACTTCTCATCCAAAGAAATACAACATCAAATGTGTGTCGCGGACATGCAAGGATCACTGTCTGGCTAAGAATTAACCATGGAGGACTATCTTGCAGCAAAGAACTATCAACTGTGTCAAAAATCTAGTGAACAGCAGATACAGCTTCAAACTTTACCTTTAAATCAACCACATGAAATGATCAACCAAAACAATCCAATATGACTATTAAATCCTACTTTGCCAAAACTGCAATTCCACATTCAATAACTCCAGCTAATTTCAGAAGGAAAAAAATCACATTGGGCTAGTGCAAAAAGGACAAAAAAAAGGGGGGGGGGTACATTTATGAAGAGACTGCAAGAAGACATACTCTAAAGCTATTGTATTCCTCTTTGACTTTCAACTGAACATCCTTCCTGTTTGCGCGAACATTAATTGGACCAAGAAACATCCTTAAGAACCGCCCTGCAATTGAATGCAACCCGATCTATATAAACACTTGGGAGTTGGTTTAATAGGTGACAAGCAATGTGAAGTATTCGATATCTTTATCTTCGCGGTGACAAGCAGGTATGGAGCAATTATGGAAAGAGCAAGTGGGGAGAGTACCAACCATGAGATTTGCTGGGAAGAAATGCGGCAGCATCTCCTTCATTCAGTAGATACCTAGCTCTAAAGAGTTCCTCTTCCAACTTAAAAAAAAAAAGGAGGAGAAAACAGCAAAAACTTGAGTCTCAATACATGCACATATAAATACAAAACGTAGGCTGCCGGAAGCTATTAAATTAGTAATAATTACAGGATGATCAATAGTGCAAAAAAAAAAAAAGAGGAAAATAATAATAATAAGAATAAGAAGAAGATGCGGTGGAAAAAGGACATTACTTTTTCGGCGAGCGTCGAGTCGAGGAGGAGATTGGATTTCCTGATGGAAGAACGGAGGGAGTGGATGGAGGAATTGAGGGAATTGGCTCTCTGACGGAGAGAGTCCTCTTCGCGAGAGGTGCGGGAGATTAAAGAGGCGGAGAGGTCCTGGAGCTCCTTGGCTTGCTCCACCACCCTAGAGACTTGCTCCACCAGGGCGCGGTCGGAGCTGGAGATGTCGCCGACCGTAGTGTCCCCCATCTGCCCGACCCGATCAAGATTCTATTATTGAAGAGAAAGAAAGGGAAAAAAAATTATATGAATCTAGTAATGCTTTCACCAGGCAATCCACCTCCCCCGCCCTGCCCTGCTGATTTTCCCAACTCCGAGGTTTTCTCAGTTTATTTATTCGCGATGGTACGCGTAATTTCGTGCATAAATATTTTTTTCAAAAAATATTCAGAAAAAAAAATATATTTTTTTAAATAAGTAGGTAGTACTAGCAGTGGTAGTGGCGGGGGTAGGTCGGGGGCGGGTGATTGGTGGAAGAAAGAAATACAACAACACTATTGTACTCCGTACTAACTACTGCTGCTACTTTATAAAGGGAAGCAGGTCGTTGAATTAGAAAAGAAGGCGGTGGGTGCGGTGCTGTTGGGGAAAAAGAAACCTAGGGCGGTGAGCGGTGGCTGGCTGGCTGGCTGGATTATAAACTGCTGCTGTTATTATTAGCTCCAAAGAAAATTTTATTATTATTAATTTTTAAAGATCGGACATTAGGAACAGGTTTTATATCATCCATCGATCTAAATTGGACGGATGAAAATTATCTTTCTTTCTCGCCATCTTGTCTTACCTTTTTTGTGTTGATGAATAAACGGACACTCAGTTTTATGTTTCAGGATTGGGACGAGCGGATCCACATCCTCTGTCAGTTCTATATATGCTTCAGTTTTATGTTGCGTCAAGTTTTACGGTTCTATTTTTTGAAAGGCAGGTACGCTAGTTTTTCCTTTTTTGGTGGGGGGGGGGGCGGGGGGAGGGCGTGGTTCCCGGTTCCAACTTGCAGCCAACGACTTGAGAAGTCGCAGCAGCCACACAATGGACGCGTCTACGAGTCGGTCGCATGTACCGAGTACGACTGTTGGCGGAGGAACGTTCTTCCGGTACTCTCCAGCCAGCGAGCCGAGCAGGTGGCCTAAATCGATACCTCCACCTGCTCTTTCCTTTCCAATGCCTCTTGCCTTCCCTACAAATTCAATTTGACACTCCGCAGACTCCCAAACTGGTCCAGCATCTACGACTACGAGAGGCCATCATTTTTGCTGCTGCACTGCAAGTCTGCAACCATTCCTTCCTCTTCTCCTTAGCATTAAATTTTTGGCTGTCAGACTCAAAACATGTGATCCCTCCCGGGCATAGAAAGGATAAAAGAAAACCCAAATGGTTTCTTCTTCTTAATTACTTTAAAGAAAGAAAAGAAGTTTGGATAAAGATAGATTCTTGAGCGATCGTAGTTAAAGTGAGTGCTTTGATTCATCATAATATCATCATATTCATATTGCTTGCTAAGCAGAGAGGAGAGGAGGAAGGAATTTGTGTACTATTTAATAGTACTTGCAAATGCGCCGCTTTGAAAGGCGAATGGCATGTTTAACCTTCAAGTGGACAGTCGAAAATAAAAATGTACTCGCACTAAAAATTTTTTTTTTTAAAAAAAAAAAGGAAAGAAAAGTTGCACTCAAATGCTTGTTTATGCCGGCTTTTGAGGTTAATTTTGGGATTAGGTTTATAAAACAACAAAAGTCTGATTCAGGCTGTTGAAAAAAAAAATGCTTGTTTATGCCTTGAAATCATAATCAAGGAAAAATTGCATAAACCTCTCCTAATGTTTCTGACACAAACGCTCACATTCCTTGTAATTTATTTAGAAGATAGCATTGACCACCCTTGAACTTAAGGATTGTGTTGCATATTCGGTTCATGCTAGAAAAGTTACCTCTAATAAATTGTTTTAAGGAGTGAGATTAGAACTTTGTGCCAGATTTACCCTTCATGCTGTTTGTATCGATATGCAATTAGTTAGAGTATAAAAGTAAATTCATACAATTTATTGTTAGCAATAGATCCAATTTCCTCTTAGGGAGGTTAGTGCTATTTTAGAAACCAAAAAAGAGATGAGTGCTAATGTTAAAAACCTCAGGGAAGGTTTTTCCAATTATCCCTATAATCCAATGCTCAAAAGGGGATATGAAAGTAAAGTTTAAGGGGAATGTTGTGTTATTTTTAAAATTTCAGGGAGATTAGTGAAAGTGTTAGAAACCTCAGGGGAGGCTTCTGAAATTACTCCTAAATTTTATGTGAAATGCACAGTTTCCCGTCCTTTCTCTTCTCTTCCTCTTTTCGAACCAAAACAGGGCCTCTTCTTTTCCCTTTTTCTGTCCCAATCTCCCAAACTAGGTATTATAAAAATAAAAATAAAAAAACTAGGAGTAAAGAATCCCAAAGTGGAGCAACTGCTCTGAATTTGAGGGATGATGGGTGCGACCCTACCATGGCAGCATCTTGTACCTTCAAAACCCATTGGTCTATGTCCAGCCCAGAACCACAAGCAATTCATTCCTCTCCATTGCCAAGTTTCCAAAATACAGGCCTTTAGGCGCAGCGACTTTGATGTTTTTGCTCGGCGCATAACTTCCGGCGAGGCCTGGAGGGACGCCTGGCGGAGGGCCAATGATGGCTTCGAGCAGCTCCTCTACGAGACCAAGAAGACCGCCGAGCGCCTAGACCGCCAATACTCCGTCTCTCGCCGCCTCTCCGCTGTCACTCGTTCTGCTGCCGACCGCGCCCGGGAAATCGATCGTGAATTCGAGCTCACCCAGCGCTGGCGGACTTTTTCTCTCGATTTCAGTAGGAATTGGCCGAGGGTTTGTATTTGTACATCCTTTTTCCTGGCCTTTTCTTTTTCTTTCCAGTAACAAGCATTTTCTTGTCTTCTACGTTTTACAAGATGATGCATGGTCAAAAGATTGTTGCTTTTTTTTTTTAAAGATTAATTTAATAAAGACATTGAAGCTTTATTTAACTTTCCAAATTCCAAACAGGTCGTGCCTACTGCTAGTTTTTCTTTCCAAGCCTGTTGAACTAGTTGAATTTAACATACCATGAAAGCATTTTCTGAGTAGCACGATCTGTTAAATGTCATATTAGCTAATTAGTTCTCAGATTTTAAGTCACTTGTAGCCGTTTTAAGTGAGCGTTTAATAATCCCATTGTTCTCTTCTTTGTGGGGATTATTTTTGCAGAACAGAAAGCAGTTCATTGATTTTCTTGACACTCCACTGGGAAAAAGTTTTACCGTAAGTATCACTGTATTTCTTTACCTTAGTTTTGGATTGAAATTATGTGCTCCAGCATCGAGTAATCTTCTTCATTAAGCATCACAACTTGGAGGCTTGAAGTGTTACGTGTATCTTATAATCCAAAGATTGGTTGAATTTTTTTTAGTTCAATGGCTCTTTGCTGCTTGTCTTGGGACATTTTTATTTGATATCAGTGATAAGTAAGTTAAATCTTCTAAAAGTTTAAAGGTTTACTGCTAACTGGCTTAACCAAAATCATCTTTTTTTTTTCTTGGGTAAGAAAGAAGAAATGCATCAATATAAAAAAGCTAAGAACCAAAATCATCTATGATGTTTAAGGTGTAATGGAAATTGGCTCAACCAAAATGCTCAGTGGAAGCTTGAAATTAGGTTTTCTGCATACACTTTGGCCCTAATATTTACGTATGTCAACAATGCAAAAAAGTTTTTGTAACATCATATATGCTAAATCATAAATCTTCTGGCTAGACATCGACAATAAAAATTTATATAGCTAACTGGATGAATATAAGGGAAAGAAATCGAAGCAGACCTGCATACAAAGAAGAATGTTATAGTTGCATAGATAATTGATATTTCTGTTTGTGGCTTGAATCTATTTTATCTGTCTCTGTCTCAGGTCATGTGGCCCATACCCTTCTGATATTTCTATAGTAATAACACGCTCAAATGTTAGCATGTCATGCTAAAATGCTAATAGAATTTTCTGTGTGTAGACAATTTTCTTCCTGTGGTTTGCTCTTTCTGGATGGCTGTTTCGTTTCCTGATATTTGCAACATGGGTGCTGCCATTTGCTGGTCCTCTTTTAATAGGGGCTGTTGCCAACAATCTTGTCATCAAGGTAAATGGAATTCTTTGGTGGCTCTTTGCAATTGTACATCAGGGATGAGAGTGAAGCTTTTCCTTCCATAAGTAGTTTACATGTGAATGCACATTGGATGCAGGGATGTAGGGTTTTCCGGCAACTTAACAGAATAGTTTTGTTCCTTGTGGCAGAATTTCTGTGCCAGGAATAATTTACTGATTTGCATAGAATTACCATTTACTGAAATGTGACTTCTTAGAAGAATATTACCTAAAAATGGGTCTGTACTTAACGTGTTTGTATGAGCAGGGAGCATGCCCTGCATGTAGGAGACAGTTTGCTGGATATAAAAACCAGACGGTTCGTTGTGCAAGTTGTGGAAATATAGTATGGCAGCCTCAAGGTGACTTCTTTTCAAGAGGGAGCCAAGGTTCGAGTTCCTCTTCAAAGTCTGAACATGATGTAATTGATGTTGAGTTCGAGGAGAAATGAATTTCAAATACCAAGTGGCTCCTCTGAGGGTATCTTTACTGATGATGCCTTCCAAAACTAAGATTGATTTTCAGATCTTTCAACTATGAATTAAAAATACCAAGTGGCCAGACTCGGTCTGCATCCACTGAGGATGTCATGCAAAAATATTTAAGGAATTCAAATGTTTTAGCTGTGTATTTAGTTGTGCTTGGCAAAAATTCTTCCTCCTCTTCCTATAGTTGTGCACTGTGGTCTCTGTATGGTCAGTGTTGCTATTTCTGTAGGTGTAAAAAAGTGTTTAGAAGAAAGGTGATGAATGCATAAATTGACTGTTCACAACAACTGTCCTTGTGGACCATGTCACTGTTCCATTAAAGCGGGGAATAGCCTTTTTGAGTTTTTCAATTTTGATAAATATGTCTTGCTTATTCATTTCTATTTTCCGCTTCATGGAATTTCTGTAGAATTGTATTCAATTAAATAGGACATACCAGAAAGAAAGTATTAAGAGTCATGATATAGGGTATTTGATTTTTGTAATGTTTCTTTTGTAACTGGATGGTGGATGGTAAAATGGTTGTGACTAATTAGCTGACAAATGGCTGGTTGTAATCTTTAGGGGCTGGGAAATGGTTGATGTCCAGATGTTCTATTGCTTTTGATCTTCAAGTAGTACAGAAAAGAAGTATCCCTCACCTTCCATTGTTTCCCTGATATGGATAAGCTGTTTAAATGGGACATACAGAAAAGAAAGTATCACAGCCATCAAGCTATAGGCTAATTGATTTGTGTTTTGTTTCCCTTGGAACTGAATCATGGATGGTACGATGCTGGTGACTTCTTAGCTGAGAAATGGCTGGGGTTGTGCCATCTTTAGGAGACTGGAAATGGCTGATATCCAGATGTTCAATTGCGTCTGATCTTTGAATAGTAGCTTGATGATGCCATTGCTTGTCCTCAAACTTAGGAAGAAGTATTCCTCGCCTTCCATTGCTTCCTCGATACAGATAAGCTTGTCTGGAAAAGGAAAAGGTATTAGGTTTTATGTTAAGCTTCCATTGACCCTATTCTTTTGTTTCGAGAAAATATTCATCTCTTGCGAACTGCCTTCCATCCCTCATAACCAGAAAATGATGACAAGAAATATATCAGAGACCTAGTGACCTACTAGCCATAAGCCCCCCAAGGTTTGGAAAGAGGGATTACAGGGCGAAAAAAAAAAAGAGGAGACACAAGTCAACTAATGGGTGAAAGGGGTTATTTTCCTTGCTGACAAAATCAGAAATAGAATAAATAAGGCCATACACTCTTTCGAAATTGATAGGGTTCCTCCAAAATACTTCTTCTTGAAGGACAGTGTGATTTGTTTGGGCTTTGAATGTATGGTGACCCATTTGTGTTCTCTGCGACCTGCATTTTATAAAACATCAGTTTCACAAGCAGAAGTCCTTTTATGTTGGGTATGTTCTTGCATCAAACATTTCCATGTGCACGTCCTTTTATAAAACATACACTTCTCATTTACCTGATGGGGTGATTATACATATCTCAGTGCAAGCTCTAAGCAGCCCTTGGATCCTCAAGGAGTCTGCCATAGTTCTTGATTTCAGAATTGCAGCACCTCTTAAACCTGATAATTAGGAGCTATTCCACATCATCTATCAAGTTAAAGTTCTTAAGAGTCGATGAGTCATTTACTTAAGAGGGTCATAACAAGAGGAAGAAATGTACAAGAACGGAAATGCAGTTGGACAGAAGAAAATTTATTAACATTACATGTTGATGTTGTTGCTGTTACTGCCATCATGTCAATAGGATTACTGATGGCCAGGCCAGAATTGACTGCAGATGCAAGTTGAGCTCTATCTGCACCTAAAGATTCTGCTGCCTCAGCACATACAGTAGTCATCAATGCTGCTGCAGTAGCAACAGCACCTCCCATTTCCTCGTATATTGCCCTTGTTTCACCATTGCCTTTTCGGTTGATGTTTTGTGCTTCTGTGCTGGTACTGGTTGCAAAGCCTGCAATTGCTGCAGCAAGCTCTGTAAGTGAAAGTGCAGCATGTAGTCTGGCCGTGTGGCATCGAATTTCATCTTTCTTCTTCTCTTTACAAGATCTGAAGAAGCCAGAGAGCGATTTGCCTTTTGGCCATCCTTTCACGTGATTCAAGTTCATCTACATAACCAAAATGTACATAATATCAAGATGAGGGATGTAGAGTACAACTAGATGATTTTTAACCTATCCTATGAGCATAAGAGCACTGGACTAGCTGTGGGGAACAAGGCCGGAGCACAAATTTGGGAAGAAAAAACGTTTACTAACTTGAATCGCTTTTCTAGAGAAGTTGGCATTCAAAGAGTTGTAACACAGGTCTGTTTCAGTTGAATATCACCTGGCAAATTTCTTGCACCTCCAAGGCTAGGGATGACTGTGAAATCGCTGGTTATTACTACTAATAAACGAATGAATTCCTGAACATTGATGGGAGAGATTGATCATTACTCTACTGAATTTCTCGTTGATTACAAGCACCTGGTTCCTTTCTGGGGTGTGCTTCAATGCTGCTTGTGGTTGATTTTCATGATCTTCTGCTCTGGCCCTGTCATACTGGGCAAACGAGAGATTCTACAAATTCAATGCCGCATTTTGTGTGTACAGATTATAGCTCGGAACTCGGTGAACTTTGGATCAAATTCAGTATGTGCTCATTACAAGTTCAATGCATATTCACCTAGTTCGAGAAAGCATGAAAGTACTAGCAGAAGGACAAAAGAGAGACTGAAGTGGATTAATGTCAAAGTTTGGACATGGGGCCACCACTTCATGGTTGCGGTCACGGATGGATCACAATCTTAGATGGTCCCAAACACTCCCAGTTTCTTATGTCTTCGTTGTTAGATTGTTTCTTCATTGGGTCAGTGAACAATTTAACAGGACGAACTTGTTAAGTGCGCATCGTTTGTGCTACGCATGTTTTTGGGAAGTAGCAAACTCACACTTGAAGGAAATAACTGCAGGAAGTTGGAGGCAGAAGGACTCCATGGTCTGCACAGGAACTCCATTGCACTGATGGGGCTCTCAGGAGTATCCATTGGTTCTTCAATTTGAGAGGCCAGAGCCCTTTTTGTGGTCTTAAAGTGCTTTTGAGCTCTGGTCGAATACAAATCCTCTGGGCTGCCAGTCTGAGTCTGACACAATTTCGTAGGAGGATGATAGTTAATTAAGAACGCAAGTCCGTGGGAATTGGAAGATAAGATACTGCTGTATGGACTCGTGTGAAGGTAATAAAACTCACGTGACGGTAGAACGACAGTGGCGGCGACTTGTGTTGAGTTATGAGCGATGTTCCCCTTATTCTCAATTCCTCCGGCGCTTCGTCCATGTCAAGAACTAGCTATTTCACCTGCGAATTGTGATCAGAAAATGCTGAAGAATGAGCCAACGTTTCCTACGACAGTTGAATATTATTTAGAGAGTCAATAAAGCTCTACATTTTTCCCGTGTAGTTTGCGAGACAGTAACGACTGCACCTATAAAAGACATCCACTCAGTGTCCTCCTGGGTGCGCAGTCAACTCGCATCAGATTCAGAATCATGCTCAAGCAGCAGGTTAATGCTTTCAGCAAGAAACACGAATCTCTGCGCATGCAAGTGCAAGTGCAGCATTCCCAGTTACCTTTTTAACCGGTAAGATCGATCAAAAGCTTGGCTGGTCGTCGTCTCATCTCTACTCAAACCAAGAATCAGTAGCGATCCCAGCACTACAGCCTAGACTTTGGTTTGAACGGAACTGGAATGTACTATGAGGAATATAAAAGAAGCTTCTGAAAGAGGAAAGCTGTATTGTATTGGCCAGTCCGAAGGATATAATGACCAAGCGACCGAATTAGGAAACGAAACGCAGTGATTACAGGGGTGGAGGCCGTAGGACTACCCGCCCGGGGGGAGGGGAAAAAAAAAAAGAAAAAAAGGAAAAAGTGGAGCTTACCCCAACTGGAATTGTCCTTGTCTGGGTTGCGGACGATGGATGCTCATTGATTGTTTCTTGTGGATCTGGAAAACAAAAACTGCAACTGGAAGAGGCGAAGACCAACTGGAATTTTTATGTTGATGCTTAAGTAAGAGTTGAAGGGGAAACAAAGAAAAAATAACCTCATAGGTTAGTAGTTTTTTCACCTCAGGTCCATATGTGGATTGGTCTATTAATTTTAGTAAAGATTTTGTGTTGCATCGAATGCAAGGAATGTCGTGGTCTTGGGAAGCATAAGAAAGACGTAATTAGGCTACACATATAAAGATGCATTATATACTATATACTCAACTGCAGTAGAGTAGCAACAGCCAACAAGATGGATGAATGGATGATTGGATGGTGATGCCCTCGATGCTTCTGTGTCATGCATGGTGCCCCAACCCCAAGGAGGCTCCCGCAGTTGAATCTTGAATGCCAGTTAACTATAGGCTATGGAAATGGAACTTGGACTACAACTTCACGTGTGGGAATTGGGATGGTAATGGTACGCTCAAATCCCTATTTTATTTTATGCAGAAAATTAACTAGGTGAATTGGTCGTATGAAAACCACCAACCTTTGAATTGGATGTCACCACCAATGCATTAAGGTTTGGTGAGGTGGGAGGTAAGATTGTCACAATTAAATGTGATCTTGTTTAAAAAATCCAAACGTCACCTCCGGATTATTTCAGAACCTCTTCAGGCCCTCCTCTTCCTGTAGTGTAGGTAGCTATGGTATCGACCAAAAAAGAATTGGTTGCATGAGCTGTCTGCTAGGACTACCTTTTTCCGCTATATACAGTACGAATTTCTTGATGCGTAGACTCCGCAAAAACATGTACTATATATAGAAAAGGCCACTTTCCTTAATTATGCAGTAGGTTGGGATCTACGTTTAGGCATCCAAGATGATCGACATTTGAGGTACTGATAGTCAGCTCTCTTGATACTCAACTCAAGACTCTCCTCGACCTCAGTCTCTCTTTTGTTTTTCAGACCTATTTAGAATTTTTTTTTCTTATCATCCAATCAAATTATCTCCCAACTTCATTTAACTTATTAACCTAGCACGTGAATTACTCCTAATTTTGTTACTTAAATAAGTGCACACACAAGACTTTTCATTGGATCTCTGTGCTTTTCACTAGGTCTCTTGGATTACATCTAGCTTATGAACCTCGCACATGAATTATTACTTTATTTTGTTACTTAATAAGTTCATACAAAGATTTTTCATCAGACTTGGTTATTTCCACGAGTTAGAGCATATCTCTAAAATTATAAGCCACTTACTGACTTGTAGAAGTTCTTATGGATAATTCGATAATACAATTCTTGTATTGATAACGAGATTTGAATACGTGACCTTTGTATGAGGAAATGGTTTGTCACCTTTTTTTTTTATTTTTATTAAGAATGTTGGGATCTTGCATACGCACACACGCATATATATATAAAGGGTTAATCTTTCCTATATTGACAATGTGCATACAATCAGCGTTAGATGAATAACAATCATATAAAATTTGAATTTAAAATTCAACTTTTACACGTATGTCATAGGTGCAACGGTTATAGTGTATACATTGTCATTTATATATATCACAACGTGAGAAATCACCGGATCAACCAGGCTTTTTACTTTAACAAGACCTACACTTATTTGAATTTGACGAGTTAATGAATGTTAAAAAAAAACTTGCTGATCAAACTCATATTCATTAGCTAACTAAAACTTCACATCAACTGAGTTTAAGGCACCGCTTAAACGAGTTTATCATGTAATACCTAAGTATTTGTTCGCTGCGGGTAGGTACCGCTATCTTCGAATTTAAAGCTGCTAATGAGTCTAGTGATTTTGACTTTGCAAGCCAGAGTGTTCGTTTTTAGTATGTTTCTCCCTTGTGTTGTATCTCGTTAAAACTGTTTGTGCCACAAAGAATATTTGTCAAATCCTTGCCTTGTTCAGGCTCAACTGGAATGCTTTTATCTGCGGTTGCATCTTATGATGAGAAGAATATATGTCATTCACATATCCAAGTTCGTAATTGTTGGCGCAAAATCCTATGTTAATCGGGTCTAAACCATTGTTGATGCTGCATTCTGGGAATATTTTTGGCTACTGGAATATTAGAACCGTAGCATCTAGCAAAGGATTCTTCGTTTGGATACCACTAGTTATTTCAAAAAAACTTCATACTATCATCATCTAAAGATGTTCTTCAATGATTTTTTATCTCGCCTATATCACGTTCGAAAGAGTACTATAAGGTTATTTTCCTAAAAATACTATAACGTTGCGAAAAATTTTATTGTAATATCACTGTTGAAAACGCGTTAGTGAGAAAGAAGATAGTTTTAAAAAAAAAAAAAAATGTTTTGAAGTTTTTCCAGAAAAAATGTATATAAATCAATGCATTGGTATCAAAGGATTTAGCCGATGAGTTTTTTATTTCCCCGGCGGCCCAAAGTCCATGCACTCTAAACGGACAATCCACCCCTAACAACAAGGATGCGTGCATCCTGTAAGAATCATCCACGTCTGGCAGACTTCGCAAGAAACTTGTACATTTTTTATAGGAGACACTGTTGATTTGAGGCCTTTAAATTTGGGAAATCCAACATAAAATACTACTAACTTAAACTATGAAAGTAACGAGTTAAAATCAATCAAAAATCACCGCTCATTGTGATGATAGAATGATTCATGACGTGACATGCCATGTGACGTACGTGCTGTGCCCGATACCTTTTGGAATCATATTGCCTATTAATACCATTAAAGCAGTTTTGACCTGCTTACTATCCGATAAAATTGCTTTTCTTCCAAATGTAATATGCCAATTCATAACCATTATTTATACCATATGTAAATTTTATTCAATGTAGAGAAATTAGTTGTGGAATAATATATAATGTGATGAAAGTAGCGGTAATAGCAGTAATTCTATGCTAAACAATTATTCCACTCGTAAGATTTACAAATCGAGGCTTTTTTTTCCAGAATCTTGTGGTTGAATGGTATGTGACACTAAGGTGCAAATAATGGTAATTTTGGCCGTCGACTTCTGGAATCTCAATTAACAGATCGAACAATATATAATATATCGATTAATTTTTTATATATTAATAATATATATATTATTATTATTATTAGTGTATATATCATTATCATTATACTCATCTCAATTTAATTTTTTCGCTGGGAAGTGTATGCACCGGACAATCAAACTCTGAAAAAGCTCACATCTAACCATAGAAAAATACAAAGCTCAGTGGCTACCATCTCTCCTGATGGGGTGAGAGGTCGGGGATTTAACTCTTGTCTCCCACTAAATTGTTTGTCTCTCATGGGCAATTCGGTTGATCTCAGCAAGCCTTCTTAGGAACTGGTGTCCAGTGCCCGCAAGGATCCGAGTCCTGTGGTTAAGGCTGCAAATGAATCGAGCCGCTCGCGAGCGGCTTGAGTCAAGCTCATCAAACTCGAGCTCAGAATATTAAGCTCGTTAGCTCGCGAGTTTGAGTATATATATATATATATATTTTTTATTTAATAATAAAATTAAGTATATTATATATTTTTTTATTTTCATAGTTAAATTACGTAAAATCAATAAACTATACTCCTTACTTTAAAGAGTATAGTTTATAGGCAAAAATACATATAATTTATTTAAAGTACCCGCTCTTTACAGATATTTTATTTTTAAATATTTAATTTATGATAAATATATTAACGTTTGTAATTAAAAATTAAAACGTGTTACAGTAATTATTCTCGCAAAAAGAAAATCAGTAGGTTATCTATTTGATATAAATTAAATATTTTTTTAAAAAAGAAATGGCCCATAAAGTATTAATTGTTTATAGTTTTCATCCATTACATGAGTAAAGTATTAGCTTTTTATGAGTATTTTATCCCGAATCATTTAATTTATGCTAAATACATAAATATTTATAACTAAAATTGAAAAAGTGTTATATTAATATTTCTAAGGAAGAAAAACTGGTAGGTTTTTTATTTAACGAAAATTAAATATTTGAGAGTAAATACAAATCTATATTTGAGAATAAATATTTGTAATAAAGTAAATGTTTGAAAGTAAAATATCCGTAAAGAGCTGGTACTTTAAATAAGTAATACGTATTTGTCTATAAACTACGCTCCTTAAAGTTTATTAATTATTAATTAATTTGTAATACTTTGTCATTCATTGGACATGTAGCACAAATGGCAAATCAGGTACAAAATTCTAATTTCACTCTCTAAAACAATATTTTAATCATTTGGACTGAATTTGTAAAGGATTAGTAACCTCAGGGGAGGTCAATGTAATTGTTCAAACTACAGGGGAGGTGGGTGTAAATGTCAGAAACCTCAGGGGAGGTGTCTGAAATTATCCCTAAAATTAATCTACGTTTTGATAGGACCGTTAACGCAGGACAAGTTCAGCCCCCGGGCTCGTCATCTATCAGAGAAGGAGCAGGGACGAAAACCAACCCCGGAAACTTTCTGGGAATCTTTAAAACCCTAAATCCCGGAAATTTAAAAGAAAAAAAAAAAGAAGTAAAATCCCCCTGCAGTTACGTTGCCTACTCTCCTCCGCCTTTTTTTTCAGCAGTCAGCAGACGGCAAGTCAAGTCGGTTCGGGAGGACTAAGTGAGGTTGGGAGCATATAATAGTGAAGTAGACTATGGGAATACCGGCATTCTATCGGTGGCTAGCAGAACGATACCCGCGCTCAGTTGTCGACGTTCCAATTGATACCACCGCTCCAAACCCTAATGGCCTCGAGTTCGATAACCTCTATCTGGACATGAATGGAATCATCCATCCCTGCTTTCATCCCGATGGATTGGTATCATAAAGACCAGACAAAATTACTGCTCGATATTTTTCTTACAAATGAACTGCTTCTCTAGTTTTTTTGTTGAACGGCTTTGTTTCGTAATAAATGATGCGGTATTCGTGAACTTCCTTCACAGCCTGCTCCGGAGACTTATGACCAAGTATTTAAGGCGGTATTCAAGTACATTGACAGATTATTCTCCATGATTAGGCCGCGCAAACTTTTTTACATGGCAATCGGTACGTCCATTCCCGTCTATTGCTAACTTATGCTGAAATCAACATCTGCAGCTTTATATTTCTTTCTTTTGTCTGCATTTACTGTTTCGTTTACTACTAGGTGGAGTTTGAGTTTACAACTCTTTTCTAAGTGCTTCATTAGGACGCCACTTGGATTGTTAGTCTCACTCAAACATTCCCAACGTTAATCTCTCAGATGGTGTGGCACCGCGTGCCAAGATGAATCAACAGCGGGCAAGACGGTTCAGAGCTGCTAAAGATGCGGCAGATGAAGTCTGTATTTTTTTTTTTTGGGGTAGCGGGGCTTCTGCAGATGTTATCATTCCACCATTTCGTCTTTTGTTTTGCCCCTGTACTTTTATTCTGTTTCCAACATAACTAATAGGCTGGAATTTGATTATGATCAGGCATCTAAAACAGAGACATTGAAAGGGGTCCATGTGCCAGAAGGAGAGGATTTTGGAAATAAAAAGCTGGATTCTAATATAATTACTCCTGGAACTGAATTCATGCAACTCTTGTCATCTGCACTTCGATATTATGTACACTTGAAGATGAACTCCGTCTCCGGTTGGCGAGGAATCAAGGCATTTTTCGGTTCAATTTCTAGGACTTTGATTTGTTGTTCCTTTTGGACGGGTCTAAAAACACACAGACTCTCTCTCTCTCTCTCTCTCTCTCTCTCACGCACACATACACATCCCTCCCCCTCCACAAATGTAATACCATATGACTATGCTGATCTTTTTTAGGTTATTCTGTCTGATGCTAGTGTGCCTGGTGAAGGGGAACACAAGATTATGTCTTACATCCGTTTGCAAAGAAATTTGCCAGGATTTGATCCAAATACACGACATTGTTTGTATGGATTGGTAAAAATCTTCTCCTTAGATTTTTTTTTCTTCTCTGTTTTTGATGTTAGGTTTATGTACTTTCCTGTCTTTTGCCTATCGATGAAAAAAAAATTAGACAAAAGTTGGTAAGCACTCTAAATTTTGCTATGAAAACCTTCCAGAAACCTGTATGCATTGTGATGGATTTATTGGAGGTGACTTGATCTAAATGTGCCTACTTTTCTTCTAATTTCTTTAGGATGCAGACCTGATAATGCTTGCATTGGCTGCACATGAAATCCATTTTTCTATTTTGAGAGAGGTATAAGTTTAGGGGATTGTATTTGATCCCTCTTCTTTAATTAAGTCTTGGCTGCTGGTTTATAGTTGTCTGGAAGTTATAATGAGTTCATTATTTTTATGCACGGTGTAGGATGTCCGCAAAGCTCTGCCTAAGGACAAAAACCAAAGACAAGAAATGGTGAAGCCAATGCAAGGGGAAGGATATCTTAGGGATTTTGAAGCCTTTATATCAAGACAAAGATTTCAGGTAACAGTAATATTACCCATTCACTGTCATGACATGATTTTGGTTGATGGCCTCTGTAGAATTTGGTTTTATATTTGGTGCATGAGTTTAGCAACGTTATCTTGAGTGAAGTGATCAGCAAAAACTTTATTAAGGTACTGATACTATTTTCATGATGCTAGTAATTGTACCGTCTTATACAAACTAAAAGAGGCTCTGGCAATGAAGAATTTCATCAATTATGGTTGTAAGAGACCTGGCACTTGTAGGTTGATTATCATTTAAAGGAATTACTGAAATCCTTCATTGCAATTACACTTTATTTCACGGTTCCTGTATGAAACTAAGGTAATTGTTGGATTAGAGAAAAGTTAGTGCAAATTCTTGCACTGTGCAGCATGTAATGTTTTTGTTCTAGGTTAGGTTCCTTCTTTTACACACTTAATGGTTTATATGCTCTTTGATTGAATTGCCATACTAAGAAATTTAGGAGTAAAAAGATAAGATCTGCAGTTGATGCAAGGATATTTCTTTAAAAAGCATCATTGATTCGATCTTACAACCTTGGTTGTTAAATTAATGCATGATTTTTTTTTTCAACTGGTTTTGCAATTTCTTCTCAACTTTAGGATGGCACTTGTTACAGTAAGTTGTTAGAATAAGTTGTTGCCTTTGACAAGTCACTTACGTAGTAGTGTATGTGTGTAATGTCATGCCATTCTTTACTATATTTTTATCATTGTCAGCTCTATGTTGGGTGTACGATTTCTCTATGCATTTTTTGCTTTGGCTGGGGCTATGCTTCACTTGACTCTCACTACTGATAATTATGCCAATAGATGCATATTGATTGAACACATTCACTAATTATTTCCTTCTCCTTGTTGGATATTTATTTTTGCAATCACATAGTATGGGTCTCTCTTCAAGAGTGTTAGAATCTTTGTGAATCTGATGTAAGATGTCCAAGTTGATCATACATTAACATCTTCCACCCAACAAATTTGTTTCTGATAATTTGGAACTTTCAGCACTTTGTTTCCTTGTTCTATCCATGTATCTTCATCCATTTCTTCTTGACAAAGCATCTATTTTTTTGCTGTTGGTTCACTGGCAGATGAAATGGTGCAAAATTGAAATCTGTAACCTGATTGTTGTGTTTCTATCTTTGAACATAGTAGTGATCAGGGATAATGTATCAAATGATTTTGTAACTACTGGTTCTTCTTTTCCAGTTTCTCCACATTTGGGTACTCAGGGACTACTTAGCACATGAGTTGCAAATACCGGATGCAACAGTGAAAGTTGACCTGGACCGACTCATAGATGATTTTGTATTCATGTGTCTGTTTGTTGGTAATGATTTTTTACCACATGTGCCATCACTGGAAATATCAGAGGTTGGTATATGCATTCAGTCCACGTGGCAAATTGCAATATTGGGTTGTGTGTGAAACAAAAATTTTGAGGCAACGGGTTCACAATGTTTTTCAATTTAAGATTAATCGGGCATGCTAAATATTCAGTCCCTTTTCTTTTGAAGTATCACTAATCCATGGCGTGTTCTATTTCTTTTAGGGGGCAATTGATTTGCTCATGTTGGTGTACAAGAAAGAGTTCACTCAAATGGGTGGTTGTCTTACTAATTCTTGTGAGGTAGTCTTAAAAGTTTATTCTGCCGCATTTCATTCATTTATAGGAGCTTCAGTCAATTTTATTCATGATGCCTAATGGTTTAGTTAACCATTGGATATGTTAGTTTTCAAGCCAATTTATTATTATGCTTAACCTTGACAGCTCATGTTTGCATGAGATTGAGAGGAACAAGGTTTTCCTGCCTTCTGGGCTCAACCTGTTCAGAGTTCAAGTGCATAATTCTTGCAGCTGGATCAAAAGCTATATTTCAACTTCCTTTGTTCATTGACAGTTTCAACAAAACTGCAGTTGATTTTGTTTTCTATCTTTTATGTACTGAGAAATGAATGAGGATCGTATTCCTGGCATTTAAAATACAAAACACTTTTCCATGCATTATTTTTCATCTCCTGTTAAACTCTGCCCTCCTTTGATAAATGCAAAATTTTTTTTTGTGCTTTTATTTCAGAAAGATCTTAAAGTTTTTGATCTGGAATTTCTTACCGTTTTATTCCTCTCTTTATTGGTTTCTTGCTCTCTGCTAGTCAAACAGTAATTTCATTTTCGTTTTATATACTTGGTCCTTTGCTTGCTGTTTGAATTGACTTGTCTCATACCTATGCATTGACTACTGTGATACGTGACTAGCATTTTTCAGCTCTCATAAAGATTGATTCTGTCAAGCTATTCTTATTCTTTGTTGTCAAATTTTACTGATTTGATTTTATGAAGCCCTCTAGTCTTCCCCCCTTTTTAGCTCCTTCACTTCAAGTGCAATCTCTACTCATTATGCTAGCCGCAGCTGCAACTCTGCACTCCCAATATATTTTGCTATCATCGTTTTTCAAGACCTTTGCTCTTTGCTTCAGTATCCTGTATATTGGATTGCATAGGTTGATTTGGAGCGGGTGGAGCATTTTGTAAAAGCAGTTGGAGCACATGAGAATGCCATATTCAGGAAACGTGCACAGGTAACATTGGTTACTCAGTTTTATCAGGCTTCTTAAGTTTTAGAACATGTTCCTTTTGGTTGGTTAATATTTCATGCTGGATAGTATCAGGTGACTTTTATTTTTCTCTATTGTGACTTGAATTCATTTTAATGTTGGTTAAAGGTGAAAATCATATCTATTTGCTGTTTCATGGGCTTGCACATGAATATTCTACTTGCTTTGTATTGTCTATTGTGTGATCTACATATAATCATGTTGTAATTTTCTTTTGCCAGGCACAAAAAGCATGGGATATAAACTTGAAACGTTGTTCAGTTAAAGTGAGTATCACAATTCAGTTTGAAGTTTCGACTGAAATTTACTAGTCTTTGCGTTGTTTGATCGTAATTGTACCCTCTTATGCTGGTTTCTTCATCAGTCTAGAGCCATGGAAGTTCAGAGTACAACAGACCATTTTTGTACCGAAACCAGATTTGCAGTTGACAAGGTTGCTCCTCTATTCCATGTGTTTCTTTCTTCCCATCTTATATTTGGCTGTAATTATGTAGACCAAGTCTCAACTGTTTTTCTCTGCAAAACTCCTAATGGATATTTGTTTTGCAGGTCAAATTAGGAGAAGAGGGATGGAAGGAAAGATATTATATTGAAAAATTTGAGGTTCAAAATGATGAAGAGTATGGAAAAATACAAAGGCATGCGGTAAGGAGATATTGCTGCCGTGCCAATACCATTAGGTCTATGGCTTTCAAACTTTGCTCTGCCCCTTAATTGCACGTTTTATGCTATTTGTTGTTGATTCTATTTCTTAGGTTCTCTTGATGACTCTCACTTGCATGCGTTTTCTTTTTCTAATTGACTTTGTATGTGAATTCTTCTTGTTTTCTACACCTCTATTTCTTTTTCTCTTTGCAATCAGCTATAACATGGTGAGGGATATTGTCTCTCTCTTGATTTATATTTTCACTATAGATTTATCTTTATTTACCTCAAGCTCGTGTCACAGTAATCCTAGTTAGTTTTGGACCTCTAGTTAATCTTTCTATTTTATTTCTTTGCTCTTTCAAATGTTTCTTATTGAGCTCTATTTGATGTAGGTCTTCAAATATGTCGAAGGAATTTCTTGGGTCATGCATTATTACTACCAAGGAGTTTGCTCTTGGCAATGGTTTGTACTGAATTTGACTAGTAGCTGAGTCATTAAAGAACATAATAATATTAAAGCAATTCATACAAAATAGGATCCAGAGAACCCTGATTGCAGAAACTGAATTTGAGGCATAGTTTATGATCTTTATTTTCAATATATGATGTTCTTACATTGTTCTGACAAACTTTGTTGCGCTGAATTGTATTTTAGAAGGTGTATTTTTCTGAAAATTTTGTGTAACTTAGAAACATAATTTAGTTCCAATTTGCAGGTTTTATCCTTATCACTATGCTCCATTTGCATCAGATTTCCATGGTCTTCACCAGCTCGAAATAAAGTTCAATCTTGGTAAACCGTTCAAGCCTTTTGATCAGTTAATGGCAGTTCTCCCTGCTGCAAGGTTTAGAACCTAACTTATTGTCTCGTCTATACATGGACTAATAACCTTTCAGATTTAGCATTTGACTTCTTGAACATTTAGTGCGCAGGCACTCCCATTCTTTTACAGAAAGTTAATGACAGATCCATCATCTCCTATTTTGGACTTCTACCCAAGAGGTACGGTGATTGTACCATAAATCTTTTTCGCATGATTACTGTTCCTTGTGCTAAACTGATTGGAGGTTATGTCTCGCAGATTTTGAACTTGACATTAACGGAAAAAGACATGCTTGGCAGGTATGGTTTAGTAAATTGCTTTACTTCTGAATTATGAAAATTTCTTAGCTATTTTACTTTCATGCTGAACAGGTGTTATTTTGGAATTGATCAATGGCTTAATGTAGGTCTTTCATCTTTCTGTGCCTTTGCATAAAATATTTGCTGATATGTTGCTATACTATGAATTGTATGCTATCCTTAGGTTCATGTTCGGGTTAATAAGGAGCATATTTCATTGTCATGTATAGAACTGTACTTGATGTATTCTGGTCGTGCGCTTAATTTGATACCTGTAAATTGTGGTGCGAGTTGTTATCTGCTTATAATAGTCAAAACTGTGTTTGAGTTATCATTATTTAACCTTTGGATTCTAGTTTGCTTCTTACTAGCCCATCCATTAGGATTTGTCAGTTGACTTGATTGTGAATACTTCTGAGCATTTAAAAATGCACAGACACGTACACAACACAGCATCTGCATTTTCTGATCTAGGATCTAAAAGGTGATGTTAATCCTGAATGTCATTTTGCCTTCATCTCACCTCTAAGTGGGAGCAAAGTAAAGGGAAAGAAAGAGAAGATAGCATTGCATGAGACCCTAAAATTGAATTTACAGTTTCAGAATAGCTGATTTTTATGGGACTGAGACCTGTGCAGTTGAATGTGTAAAATGCGCCTGAATAAACCTTATGAACAGCTGTACACAGACCTTCTCTAATTGAACAATTTTGTAGGGCAGCTTGATTTTACTTAGTTGTCCTCATGATTTGGCAGGCGGTGTGTAAATTACCATTCATCAACGAGTTACGCCTTCTCGCAGAGATTGAAAAAGCTGAACATACTTTGACAGTAAGTTCTGATCTGTATAGACTGTACACAAGTAGTGTTGTAACCAGTACGAAGTTGCGTTGACAGAAAGGCAGCATTATTGTTGATTAAAACATTTTCACCCATACAAAGCGGTGATTGCATTGTTATGTGATGTAATTTTTTCTGTGTTATTCTGCATATCAATATGTTTGAGCATTCTCACTTACCTGTATGTTCTCTAAAAATGCTGAATAATATTTTTCTGATCTAGGATGAAGAAAAACGAAGAAACAGTTTGGGTCTTGATCTACTATTTGTTCACACATCGCATCCTTTGGCTGCTAAGATCTTTTCCTTCTGCAAGCGCAACAAATATAACCCAAAATTGCCCAAGGCTAAAGTGAAAAGAAAAATTAACCCCGAATTCAGGTAAAAAATCATCAGCGAACAGCTTACTGATGAAACCAATAGCTACAATTATTTTGTGTGTGCGTGTTTCTCTTTTTCAATGTGGGACGGAGGATGTGATCCTTAGATTAGGGACTGCCTCAAATGTAGTTAGATTACCCTTAATAGCTTTATGCTTCAGCACTATGACTTTTCCCTGTGGCACCAGATTTTCTGTGGATGATGCTGATACTGGAAGAATCTTAGAAAGCAAGGCACAGGATTAAATACTCCATATGGCATTGCAAGTATATATTCTGGGTTGATAGGCCGACATGTTCTATTGCTTCATCAGAAGCCATTTAACCAGTTCAGAAATTTTAAATTTGATATGCACCTAGTGCTAGTAACTTGATTATGAACATCTTCCCCAATTCTTTTAATTTTTAACACTTTTCTAATGTTTTCACATCAATATTTTGCTATGTACTTGCTTTCTTGTCAATTGGCACCTTTATCTTGTCTGAAATATTTTCTGGATTCTGGAAGCCAGGCGGATGACAACATAAATGTTTTGTCAAACTTTCCCAAGGGTTTAAAATGTCTAGATTTTTTTATAAATCATGCACATGTTGTTTTATCATTTAAATTCTTATCTTCTATCCTGGGACAATATCTGCAGATCATTCATGTTCTGCATATGAATGCCCACAATCATAAAGATACTTCATTTCACTTTTGTAACTGATATTTTTGTGCAAAAAAGTTTTTGTAACATCATATATGCTAAATCATAAATCTTCTGGCTAGACATCGACAATAAAAATTTATATAGCTAACTGGATGAATATAAAGGAAAGAAATCGAAGCAGACCTGCATACAAAGAAGAATGTTATAGTTGCATAGATAATTGATATTTCTGTTTGTGGCTTGAATCTATTTTATCTGTCTCTGTCCCAGGTCATGTGGCCCATACCCTTCTGATATTTCTATAGTAATAACACGCTCAAATGTTAGCATGTCATGCTAAAATGCTAATATAATTTTCTGTGTGTAGACAATTTTCTTCCTGTGGTTTGCTCTTTCTGGATGGCTGTTTCGTTTCCTGATATTTGCAACGTGGGTGCTGCCATTTGCTGGTCCTCTTTTAATAGGGGCTGTCGCCAACAATCTTGTCATCAAGGTAAATGGAATTCTTTGGTGGCTCTTTGCAATTGTACATCAGGGATGAGAGTGAAGCTTTTCCTTCCATAAGTAGTTTACATGTGAATGCACATTGGATGTACTCTTTCCCTCAGGGATGTAGGGCTTTAACAGAATAGTTTTGTTCCTTGTGGCAGAATTTCTGTGCCAGGAATAATTTACTGATTTGCATAGAATTACCATTTACTGAAATGTGACTTCTTAGAAGAATATTACCTAAAAATGCGTCTGTACTTATCGTGTTTGTATGAGCAGGGAGCATGCCCTGCATGTAGGAGACAGTTTGCTGGATATAAAAACCAGACGGTTCGTTGTGCAAGTTGTGGAAATATAGTATGGCAGCCTCAAGGTGACTTCTTTTCAAGAGGGAGCCAAGGTTCGAGTTCCTCTTCAAAGTCTGAACACGATGTAATTGATGTTGAGTTCGAGGAGAAATGAACTTCGAATACCAAGTGGCTCCTCTGAGGGTATCTTTACTGATGATGTCTTCCAAAACTAAGATTGATTTTCAGATCTTTCAACTATGAATTAAAAATACCAGGTGGCCAGACTCGGTCTGCATCCACTGAGGATGTCATGCAAAAATATTTAAGGAATTCAAATGTTTTAGCTGTGTATTTAGTTGTGCTTGGCAAAAATTCTTCCTCCTCTTCCTATAGTTGTGCATTGTGGTCTCTGTATGGTCAGTGTTGCTATTTCTGTAGGTGTAAAAAAGTGTTTAGAAGAAAGGTGATGAATGCATAAATTGACTGTTCACAACAACTGTCCTTGTGGACCATGTCACTGTTCCATTAAAGCGGGGAATAGTCTTTTTGAGTTTTTCAATTTTGATAAATACGTCTTGCTTATTCATTTCTATTTTCCGCTTCATGGAATTTCTGTAGAATTGTATTCAATTAAATAGGACATAACAGAAAGAAAGTATTAAGAGTCATGATATAGGGTATTTGATTTTTGTAATGTTTCTCTTGTAACTGGATGGTGGATGGTAAAATGGTTGTGACTAATTAGCTGACAAATGGCTGGTTGTAATCTTTAGGGGCTGGGAAATGGTTGATGTCCAGATGTTCTATTGCTTTTGATCTTCAAGTAGTAGCTTGATGATGCCATTGTTTTGTCCACAAACTGAGAAAGAAGTATCCCTCACCTTCCATTGTTTCCCTGATATGGATAAGCTGTTTAAATGGGACATACAGAAAAGAAAGTATCACAGCCATCAAGCTATAGGCTAATTGATTTGTGTTTTGTTTCCCTTGGAACTGAATCATGGATGGTACGATGCTGGTGACTTCTTAGCTGAGAAATGGCTGGGGTTGTGCCATCTTTAGGAGACTGGAAATGGCTGATATCCAGATGTTCAATTGCGTCTGATCTTTGAATAGTAGCTTGATGATGCCATTGTTTGTCCTCAAACTTAGGAAGAAGTATTCCTCGCCTTCCATTGCTTCCTCGATACAGATAAGCTTGTCTGGAAAAGGAAAAGGTATTAGGTTTTATGTTAGGCTTCCATTGACCCTATTCTTTTGTTTCGAGAAAATATCCATCTCTTGCGAACTGCCTTCCATCCCTCATAACCAGAAAATGATGACAAGAAATATATCAGAGACCTAGTGACCTACTAGCCATAAGCCCCCCAAGGTTTGGAAAGAGGGATTACAGGGGGAAAAAAAAAAAGAGGAGACACAAGTCAACGACTGGGTGAAAGGGGTTATTTTCCTTGCTGACAAAATCAGAAATAGAATAAATAAGGCCATACACTCTTTCGAAATTGATAGGGTTCCTCCAAAATACTTCTTCTTGAAGGACAGTGTGATTTGTTTGGGCTTTGAATGTATGGTGACCCATTTGTGTTCTCTGCGACCTGCATTTTATAAAACATCAGTTTCACAAGCAGAAGTCCTTTTATGTTGGGTATGTTCTTGCATCAAACATTTCCATGTGCACGTCCTTTTATAAAACATACACTTCTCATTTACCTGATGGGGTGATTATACATATCTCAGTGCAAGCTCTAAGCAGCCCTTGGATCCTCAAGGAGTCTGCCATAGTTCTTGATTTCAGAATTGCAGCACCTCTTAAACCTGATAATTAGGAGCTATTCCACATCATCTATCAAGTTAAAGTTCCTAAGAGTCGATGAGTCATTTACTTAAGAGGGTCATAGCAAGAGGAAGAAATGTACAAGAACGGAAATGCAGTTGGACAGAAGAAAATTTATTAACATTACATGTTGATGTTGTTGCTGTTACTGCCATCATGTCAATAGGATTACCGATGGCCAGGCCAGAATTGACTGCAGATGCAAGTTGAGCTCTATCTGCACCTAAAGATTCTGCTGCCTCAGCACATACAGTAGTCATCAATGCTGCTGCAGTAGCAACAGCACCTCCCATTTCCTCGTATATTGCCCTTGTTTCACCATTGCCTTTTCGGTTGATGTTTTGTGCTTCTGTGCTGGTACTGGTTGCAAAGCGTGCAATTGCTGCAGCAAGCTCTGTAAGTGAAAGTGCAGCATGTAGTTTGGCCGTGTGGCATCGAATTTCATCTTTCTTCTTCTCTTTACAAGATCTGAAGAAGCCAGAGAGCGATTTGCCTTTTGGCCATCCTTTCACGTGATTCAAGTTCATCTACATAACCAAAATGTACATAATATCAAGATGAGGAATGTAGAGTACAACTAGATGATTTTTAACCTATCCTATGAGCATAAGAGCACTGGACTAGCTGTGGGGAACAAGGCCGGAGCACAAATTTGGGAAGAAAAAACGTTTACTAACTTGAATCTCTTTTCTAGAGAAGTTGGCATTCAAAGAGTTGTAACACAGGTCTGTTTCAGTTGAATATCACCTGGCAAATTTCTTGCACCTCCAAGGCTAGGGATGACTGTGAAATCGCTGGTTATTACTACTAATAAACGAATGAATTCCTGAACATTGATGGGAGAGATTGATCATTACTCTACTGAATTTCTCGTTGATTATAAGCACTTGGTTCCTTTCTGGGGTGTGCTTCAATGCTTCTTCTGGTTGATTTTCATGATCTTCTGCTCTGGCCCTGTCATACTGGGCAAACGAGAGATTCTACAAATTCAATGCCACATTTTGTGTGTACCGATTATAGCTCAGAACTCGGTGAACTTTGGATCAAATTCGGTATGTGCTCATTACAAGTTCAATGCATATTCACCTAGTTCGAGAAAGCATGAAACTACTAGCAGAAGGACAAAAGAGAGACTGAAGTGGATTAATGTCAAAGTTTGGACATGGGGCCACCACTTCATGGTTGCGGTCACGGATGGATCACAATCTTAGATGGTCCCAAACACTCCCAGTTTCTTATGTCTTCGTTGTTAGATTGTTTCTTCATTGGGTCAGTGAACAATTTAACAGGACGAACTTGTTAAGTGCGCATCGTTTGTGCTACGCATGTTTTTGGGAAGTAGCAAACTCACACTTGAAGGAAATAACTGCAGGAAGTTGGAGGCAGAAGGACTCCATGGTCTGCACAGGAACTCCATTGCACTGATAGGGCTCTCAGGAGTATCCATTGGTTCTTCAATTTGAGAGGCCAGAGCTCTTTTTGTGGTCTTAAAGTGCTTTTGAGCTCTGGTCGAATACAAATCCTCTGGGCTGCCAGTCTGAGTCTGACACAATTTCATAGGAGGATGATAGTTAATTAAGAACGCAAGTCCGTGGGAAGGAATTGGAAGATAAGATACTGCTGTATGGACTCGTGTGAAGGTAATAAAACTCACGTGACGGTGGAACGACAGTGGCGACGACTTGTGTTGAGTTATGAGCGATGTTCCCCTTATTCTCAATTCCTCCGGCGCTTCGTCCATGTCAAGAACTAGCTATTTCACCTGCGAATTGTGATCAGAAAATGCTGAAGAATGAGCCAAAGTTTCCTACGACAATTGAATATTATTTAGAGAGTCAATAAAGCTCTACATTTTTCCCGTGTAGTTTGCGAGACGGTAACGACTGCACCTATAAAAGACATCCACTCAATGTCCTCCTGGGTGTGCAGTCAACTCGCATCAGATTCAGAATCATGCTCAAGCAGCAGGTTAATGCTTTCAGCAAGAAACACGAATCTCTGTGCATGCAAGTGCAAGTGCAGCATTCCCAGTTACCTTTTTAACCGGTAAGATCGATCAAAAGCTTGGCTGGTCGTCGTCTCATCTCTACTCAAACCAAGAATCAGTAGCGATCCCAGCACTACAGCCTAGACTTTGGTTTGAACGGAACTGGAATGTACTGTGAGGAATATAAAAGAAGCTTCTGAAAGAGGAAAGCTGTATTGTATTGGCCAGTCCGAAGGATATAATGACCAAGCGACCGAATTAGGAACGAAACGCAGTGATTACAGGGGTGGAGGCCGTAGGACTACCCGCCCGGGGGGAGGGGAAAAAAAAGAAAAAATGGAAAAAGTGGAGCTTACCCCAACTGGAATTGTCCTTGTCTGGGTTGCGGACGATGGATGCTCATCGATTGTTTCTTGTGGATCTGGAAAACAAAAACTGCAACTGGAAGAAGCGAAGACCAACTGGAATTTTTATGTTGATGCTTAAGTAAGAGTTGAAGGGGAAACAAAGAAAAAATAACCTCATAGATTAGTAGTTTTTTCAGCTCAGGTCCATATGTGGATTGGTCTATTAATTTTAGTAAAGATTTTGTGTTGCATCGAATGCAAGGAATGTCGTGGTCTTGGGAAGCATGAGAAAGACGTAATTAGCCTACACATATAAAGATGCACTATATGCTATATACTCAACTGCAGTAGAGTAGCAACAGCCAACAAGATGGATGAATGGATGATTGGATGGCGATGTCCTCGATGCTTCTGTGTCATGCATGGTGCCCCAACCCCAAGGAGGCTCCCGCAGTTGAATCTTGAATGCTAGTTAACTATAGGCTATGGAAATGGAACTTGGACCACAACTTCACGTGTGGGAATTGGGATGGTAATGGTACGCTCAAATCCCTATTTTATTTTATGCAGAAAATTAACTAGGTGAATTGGTCGTATGAAACCACCGACCTTTGGGCTGGTCGCCTATATCACGTTCCAAAGAGTACTATAAGGTTATTTTCCTAAAAATACTATAACGTTGAGAAAAATTTTATTGTAATATCATTGTTGAAGACGCGTTAGTGAGAAAGAAGATAGTTAAAAAAAAAAAATGTTTTGAAGTTTTTCCAGAAAAAATGTATATAAATCAATGCATTGGTATCAAAGGATTTGTAGGCATCTTTTTGATATTGAGATTGCAACACAGCGATAGCCAAGTCTCTTTAGTGTTTTGATGATCAAGTTTAGGCTTAGATTTTTTATGGGACAATTCCATTATTCATTTCTCTCCTAAGCCCCTGCCCCAATAACGTGAGATTTTTTGAAGTTTCAAAACTAATAAAGATAAATAACATAGGATTTGTATGGATTATGTGTTTTTAGAAGTATTTTTAAAAATTTTATTGTAATGTTGTATTTTAAAAACTTTCACCCTAGATATATTTTCCAAGTTTTTTTTTTTAGATTTAAAATTTTATCGAGGCATTTATAAAAATTTTAAATTTTCCTATTGCAACCACACCCTAAATGATGTGATGTATATGAGATAAAAAAAAATGTGTTAAAAATTATATCTGTGATATAAACAAATAATTTTTGGCCAAATAATTGTTATTCAAACACCCCACAAATATATGTGAAATCTAAAAAGAGCGAACAAAGCTGAAGGTAAGGCGGCAGAGTTTTAACTTTAAATGATAAGACCCAACACACAGGCGTGGAGTCTTGAGAGTGGGCAGAAGGAATAGGCCAATCGGGCAACGGGGACGAGGCTTCCCTTCCCAATCCCTCAGTTTGAAATGTACCCGCTATAGTTGCCAAAGGGCCATAGTCCTTCGCGAGTTAGCCGATGAGTTTTTTATTTCCCCGGCGGCTCAAAGTCTATACACTCCAGCTGTCCTCAACGGATAATCCACCCCTAACAACAAGGATGCGTGCATCCTGTAAGAATCGAATCCATCGAAGCACCATCCACGTCTGGCAGACTTCGCAAGAAACTTGTACATTTTTTATAGGAGACACTATTGAGGCCTTTAAATTTGGGAAATCCAAGATAAAATACTAACTACTTCCGTTTGGATTAGCTGTTTTTGGGAGTGTTTTTGAAATTTTAGAGTATATTTTGAAATATTTTTAGAAAATATTTTAAAATATTTTTTATTGACACTTTATTATGAGATATTTGGTAAAATTTTAAAAAAATTTAAACTAATTTTTAGATTATCTTTTAGAGTACTTTGTTGTAACTTTTATTGTATTTGAAAAATACTCCAAAAACAGGAGATCCAAACAAAGGTAACGCGACAACGAGTTACTATCAATCAAAAATCACCTAATAATGTCACTCATTGTGATGATAGAATGATTCATCACGTGACATGCTATGTGACACACATGCGGTGCCCAATACCTTTTTGGAATCATATTGCCTATTAATACCCGGTATTAAAGCAGTTTTGACCTGCTTACTATTCGATAAAATTGCTTTTCTTCCAAATGTAATATGCCAATTCATAACCATCATTTATACCATATGTAAATTTTATTCAATGTAAAGAAATTAGCAGTAGAGTAATATAATGAGATGAAATGTAGTAGTAGTAGTGTGTAAATTTCATTCAATGCAGAGAAATTAGCCGTGGAATAATATATAATGTGATGAAAGTAGTGGTAATAGCAGTAATTTTATGATAAACAGTTATTCCACTTGTAAGATTTACAAATCGAGGCTTTCAGAATCTTGTGGTTGAAAGGTACGTGACACTAAGGTGCAGATAATGGTAATTTTGGCCGCCGACTTCTTCTGAAATCTCAATTAACAGATCGAACAACATATAATATATCGATTAACTTTTTATATACTAATAATATATATATTATTATTATTATTAATGTATGTATCATTATCATTACTCATCTCAATTTAATTTTTTCGGTGGGAAGTGTATGCACCGGACAATCAAGCTCTGAAAAAGCTCGCATCTAACAATAGAAAAATACACCATAAAATTAAGGGTTAAATGCAGAAAACCCCCGTGAGCTTTCATAGCCGTTGCACAATACACCCCGAAATATGTTTATAGGTACTTTACACCCTAAGAAAACGACCGTTCACATATTTCACGGTGAAACAAAGCGCGTGGCTTGCACTTTCTATCCGTTGAATTTGCTGACAGAATTGCCCTCTTTCCAACGAATATAATTAGTGATTGTTGGTGTGATAAATAGTGACAGAATTGCCCGCTCAAATTTGGTGTGATTTGTTAGTGTTGCTCATTAAATAGTGATTGTTGGTGGGCAGGTCTGCAAATGCAAAGGGATGAACATGCATTACCCAGTAAGTTTCTTTTTTTTTTTTTTCCCATTTCCCTTTTGGATTGAGTTTTTATGGCATCGTCATTCGTGGCTGGGTGCTTCATTTGTTTTCTTGATCGTTAGTCTTGCTTGACCAATTCTGCTTCTTTAATGTCTTTGGTTGAGCCAATTAGACTTTGAGCTTAAAAACAAAAATTTTTGGTGAGTTTATTGGCAAAAATGGTCATTTTGTTCTTATTATTTTTTTTCAAATCGACATATTTCCCGATCATTTGGTTGGATTTTGTTTTATATGGAGGAGTGCAGGCTTTTGCTTGCTGTGAAACTTTTATAATTGCATTCGCTGCAGTTTAAGAACCTTAAGAGACTTTTGATTATCTTGACCTTCACAAAAAGGTGGGAAAACAACTTTTGGGGACAACCTCTACCATTCTAATGGTATAGCGTATTGTTGACTCGTCCATATTACATATCTCATCAGCATAGCTAGCATGGATGGAATTGGGCTAAAGCATTACAATTCCGTAATGCAGCTATTGAAGGTGAACTGGAGAAGGCAATTCATAAAGCTGGCGGAATTCGTGATAGTAACTTTGGAGACTTGCAGAAAATTGCTTGGGCAAGAAGTAGCAGAACTGATAAAGGAGTATGTTTCTCAAACTCCAATTTATGCTGATATTTTGCATTACATGACCTGTTCCTGGCTGGTTGTTGGTCTCTCAAGATAATATACATTTCAGGTTCATTCGCTGGCTACGATGATATCTTTTAAAATGGAAATCCCTGAAAAGGCTTAGAAGGATGACCCCAGCGGAATTGCTCCTGCTAATTATGTCAACTCATATCTTCCAGAAAACATCCGCGTGTTCAGCATTTTACCATCACAAAGGCGAGTTTTTGTATTGTGTCTTTACCACTCATTTCAACGTCTTACATTTGTAGCTGTCTACAGGAGACACTTCAGTTTTCTAGTTAGTTTCCAATCTGATGCTTTAGAATATCAGACAATATGAATTTAAAGAGCGTGGTGCATTTGATTCATGAGCGCAACTCGGTTTTAAGTTTAAGCACCTAGGATATTGATATATCTGTATGAACCCTTCTTGCGTGGCTCTGTTGATATTATTACAGATAGTTTAGTAGAGAATTTGCAGGAAACAAGGAGAAATATTGTAACCAGATTGCAATATCTCTTTCATTTACTGCTGCCTGTTCAAAATTATGGAGTTCTTTGTTTCACGATGTTTTTGCTCTTACAATTTAGTGGCATTTATTTTATTTGGGAGATTTTCAGGAGCTTTGATGCCGGAAGGGAATGCGATGTCCGCAAATATTCTCATCTCCTTCCTGCTGAAATTATTGGTATAAAGAATGAATTTACTGCTGCCTAAGTTGATTTGCATTTATCAGAATTTAATGGAATCCTGAATTCTTTTGAGGTCTGTTTTTAGTAAGTAGACAGTCTACTATTCCTTGCTGAAGCTTTTGCTTATGCCACTTACTAGTTTGAGGTTTCCCTTTAAAATGTAGAAGGAAAATATTTTTCCATGTTCAGTAGAAGTAAGTCCTTAATAACACATTGATGAAAAGAATGTCAGTGTAATTCATGTTAGTATTTATGGTTCTCCGCCAGAACTTCACTGAAATTCGTTGAATTGTCATTGTTAACCTATTTCGTGGACAGTTCACCTAAAGAATGAATTTCGTATAATTATTTTGTCATTACGGGTGGTGTAGGGAGAACATCCTTTCTACAATAAGAGCCAAGTATAGGAAACAGTTACGTACCAGAAGTTCTAATATATGTGACAAGGGAGCAAGATCATCTGATGAGGAAGCAGCCTCTGAGTTTTTGAAGGGAAAGAAGTTGATACAGTTGACAAAAGTGATGGAGTTGAGCCTATCAATGGGCAAAAAGTTGCGCCAGAGTTAGTCAAAAGGATTTATGATTCTTGACCTTCTTTTTGTGAATCTCCATCAAGCAGCTATAGTGAGGATGGAAGAAGTTTGAAGAAACAAAATTCTGCTTTGCCAATTGCACGATGGTTGTATGGACCTGATGAGAGGGATAAACTTAGTGCTGCCCACTTCAAAAAGATTTTTCAGTGTTATTGTGGAAAGTTGGCGCGCATGTATGGTATGAATTATGCAGAGATCTCGATTTGCGGAGCAGAATTGCCCTCTTTCCAACTAGTTAATGAGCAACACTAACAAAGGGTGCTTTTGTCCGTTCAATTATTATCTGAGGATAAAGTTGTCATTTGTGTGATAAAATAAACGGTGTGTAAAGATTCGTTACTTTTCAGTGGAGCTTGGGT